ATAAATTGTTGATGTAATAAATAATTTAACATTATTATTTTTATAAATTGTTGATCTAATAAATTCTTATATAAATTGTTGATCTAATAAATTCTTATATAAATTGTTGATATAATAAATTCTTATATAAATTGTTGATATAATAAATTCTTATATAAATTGTTGATATAATAAATTTTTATATTACTGATTAATTTAATAAATGATAAAAAAAAAATCAATATTTGTTGCGGTATTTATTTGTAACTTGGAATGATTATTGTTTTTTTAAAGTTGGGATGAGTTGTCTTCTAACTTGGGATGAGTTGTCTTTTGACTGGGGATGAGTTGTCTTCTAACTTGGGATGGGTTGTCTTTTTATTGGGATGAGTTGTCTGGGATGAGTTGTCTTTGGGATGAGTTGTCAGGTATTCCCTTAGTTCCTATCCTGATCCAATTAAATGATTCAGTAACCGCGACTGTACATGGGCTGTGTAGGCTACTAATACTATACTAATTTCATTTCAAGCCGTCAACACAAGCTGTGTTAAATAAATTACGTGTATATCGAGCTTTTTTATTGCTATGTATTGTTTTAGGAATATCAAACATATTCTGAAACCCACAGATGTTTTAAAGATACAGTGGGGGGGGGGGGGGTCTATTGATTCAACGCGTGCGCATGAAATCACAAGGTCGTTCACCGGGTCAAGTAGTGGCGTGGTTTTGATTCCCTGCTTTTACGTGATAAGGAGTAGGGTTGCCTGTCGACCCAACCTTGTGGGTTTTCTTCGGTTTCCTCCCACTGATCAAGACCCTTAAACCCGCATGCCTCATGCGAATTATTGAAATAAAATGGAACCATATGTTAGTCTCGAAATGACCTAGTTTGTGTCGAGTGGACGTTGAACGGGGCAAAAGTATAGGGGCGGGATCACTAACGAGCAGTTTATATTTTTCTGTCTGTTTGAATAACGTAGAGAGGTCTTGGTTTTAATGAAATGAAATGGGGTTTAACGTCCTACAGTTCTGCTTCTATACTGGGCTAATGAAGACGGGCATACGCCATACAGTGTGCTTTGAGGGAAATTTTGCCCGGGCAGCGGCACTTTCGCCTACTCTTATATCGAATTCCAACTGCCAGGGGATCTTTTACGTGCATTCCAATATATACACGGGACCTCGATTTTCCGTCTCATCCGAAGGACTAGACAGCTGTCCTTGTCAGGCCCTCTGTTCTGCACCACTAACAAGGGGAACTTGGTTTTAATGATCAAATGTTAATTGTAAGAGTCGTTAGAGGTTGTGAGGGACTTAAACGTACTTGCCTACATACTTTTCAAATTAAACGACGGAAAAAAAGATAATCCAAGACTTTACATAAGCTTCGATATTTATGATAAATGGACAGTCAGGGACGACAAATTGTACAGGCTGAAAATGGATCCCTTCCCTCAATCATATCACGTGACAAATAAGGCTGCTTAAAATAAATTTTACAGCTTGGGGCAGTTTTCTTCCAATTAAAATGTTTTCAAAGGGATTTTAAACACCCATCCGTTGCCTGACGGTTGTATGCCATGTTTTTATTTTGCAAAATTCAAATAATTTTCATATATACTTAGCCATGTGTGCCGTTACTTTTCATGTGTTCCAAGGTGCGTCGTTGCCAAAAATAGGTTGAAACCACTAATATATTACCACAATATGGCGCGCTTTTTAACTTATGCCGTCCGGCCTTTGGGATTTGCGGCAGTCTAATTTTCATAGATTTTTGCGGGGAGACCTCCCCACATAAAAGTAATAAATGTCCATTTCTGCAGCGCCAAAACTCTACAAAAATTGTGTAGTTGCCAAAAACGAACAATGATCAACAGATGTCCTCTTCTAACTTACAATGAGAAATTAAATGGCCAAAATTCGCTTTTAAATGCATCGGAGCTGCGGTCGCACCGTCGAGGTAGGTTGGGGTATTCTATGAAAATAACACAACCACAAACGCGTTTTTCTGGTTTTCAGTCCGTGATTATGGCAATTTGAAAGTGTTCCAATAGGATTATTGATATGGTTTCGAAACCAAATCACACTGTGCCCACCTGAACTCCTATTAACCTAAAAATGCTAGGGTTAGGGTTGGGCTAGGATGGTTACTTGTTAGCTGCACCCCCGTAGGCAGCCGGGGCCAAGCCACCCCCCCCCCAAAAAAAATGATTTGCCCCCACCCCACCCCTGCCGAAAAAAAAGTTGCGGACCATAGTTGTAAAAATACCTACTGTTTGTAATAGACAGCAGTCAGGGATCATGATGTGAAGTATTCATTTGGGGACGTTATTATACATTACATATCATTGATTATGCTCTGGTATCTATCTCATCTGCCATATATTTGGTACTGACTTGTGTCCCTGTCCTGTCACTATGTCCATTGTTCAGAGTTCGCTAGAGAACGATTTTCTGGGCACACGTTTTGCGGTCGTCCAATTTTCAAAAGTTCACTGCCCCTCCGTAAACAGTAGACTGGCTACGGGCCTACTCTTTTGTGAAATGAAATGAAATGAAATGGAGTTTAACGTCCTACTGTTTTGCTCCGAACTGGGCTAATGAAGACGGGCATACGCCATACAGTGTGCTATGAGGGAGATTTTGCCCGGACAGCGGCACTACGGCCTACTATTATATCGAATTCCAACTGTCAAGGGATCTTTTACGTGCATGCCAATGTGTACACGGGACCTTGGTTTTTCGTCTCATCCGAACGACTAGACAGCTTTCCTTGTCAGCCCCTCCGTCCTGCATCACTGACAAGGGGGAACCACGCCGGAAAATCTGGATGAACTTTCTCGGCCAATGCAGGGATCGAACACCCGACCTCCAGGCTAGCGAGCCAGCGTCTTAGCCACCTAGCCACCGTGATCCCCAGACTCGTTTGTGACATAAATAATCTAACACATACAAACAATCTATATAAAGTAAAACAGCTTAATTCTGTGATGGAACGCACAGGGGGTATAAATATATCAAATTACAACTGTGAAGCAACCTCGGTTTTTCTTCCCATCCGACCGACTAGGGGGAAAATGGGGGGGGGGTAATTATTTTCTTTATTCCTTTCTCAATCAATGATAACGTTTCGACAAGTATCGTCTTATCTTTCTGATAAAACTTTATGAATCAGTCTCCTGGTATGCGGCTATCCAAAATACCTTAAAAAAATATGACATTTCTCCAACAACAATTTCGAGACAGAATATTAAAAGTTCAATAGAAAGTAAGTTTAACGATCTCCTTGCTGAATCTTGCGGGCCGAACCATAAACTCAGAACCTTCGGATTATTCAAAAAGAAATTCAATAACACTCCAAAATATCTAGAGGTTGTTAATAATAAGAAGTTCAAAATTGCGATGTCTACCCTACGATTAAGTACTCAACAGCTTGCCATTGAAAGGGGTGGATATCTTAAGATACCACTCCAGGATCGCTTCTGTAAAAAATGCAATGCAAGCAAAATTGAATCTGAACAACATTTTCTTATGGAATGCCAAAAATATGAAGATTTAAGAAAACAATATATATATCAAACTCTTGACAATCTATTCGACCCACCGAGTATTATAGCCACAAGTGTCGCAGCCTTTGTCTACTTCTCTTTTCTTAGGAGAGACATCTGAACTGTTAAATATGCATGATACTTTATTTTCTTTTATGTGCGCACGCTTTGTTTTGTATTTTGATATATTATGTACCCTGTATGTGGGTCTTATACTGTCGAGTTATGTGATTTAATACTTTTACGTTTTGTTTCATATGCAGGTTCCATACTGTTTATTTATGAGTGCTCTGAATTTATGTCCGTCCATATTTTTGTATCCGTCCAATTTTTTGCACCTATATTTCATATTTTGTATATTGTATGTTGTCCTCAAGGGAGGTTCCGATGCATCTGTACTTAATATTTCGTATATTGTATGTTGTCCTCAAGGGAGCTTCCGATGCAATACTGTGTGTCTCTTGTGTTATAATTGTCATCTATATATATATTTGTGACTGTCGTTTGTCTGTCTGTCTGTTCGGGGTTGGCGGCTACACTAGGTCTGCCCCGAGTCTGAAATTTGGGGTATAGGGGTAGCTCGGACCGGGGAGTAACATAGGCCAGGTGGCATTAGTTTACCACTTCCGGTTTTGGAATTATGACCCCCGAGCGAAGTCTGTCTGTTCGGGGTTGGCGGCTACATCTGCCCCGAGTCTGAAATTTGGGGTATAGGGGTAGCTCGGACCGGGGAGTAACATAGGCCAGGTGGCGTTAGTCTACCACTTCCGGTTTCGGAGTTATGACCCCCGAGCGAAGCCGGGTATCCTGCTAGTATTGTTATAATTTTATGTAGGCTACATGTTTATATTGTATGCTGTCCTAAATGGATGTTTAGATGCAATAAAATCTTATCTCTTATCTTATCTTATCATTATCAACCATAACGTTGATAAAGAAGAGGATACTGATAATTGTCGAAACGTCGTGCTTTTAAAATAAAACTAGTGATTGCTTCCCATAAATTAAATAGGCCCTATCGTGTTCTGTTAATATCAAAATATGTTTCCTTGTCGCTAAATACCACTCAAAGATTATGTTCTTTTCTCAAGACAGTAACTCGAGTCGGTTCAGAAAAGAAGGAGATTAATTGCACTCCAATGACTTTCATTTGAATTCACTATTTTCTGACACGTGACAATAATGGGTCTGGTCATGCACTATGACATTGCTGAATGACAGGTCATAGTGTCTTTGAAGTTGATAGTCCTGGGTCGATCCTGACTACCACGTGCGTTCCGCCTGGACAATCATTGTAATGATCGACCTTTGGACCCTGTAATAATTCCCTTCTAAAAACCACAGATTTTGATACCCCAAATGGGACAATGCGTTTAAAATGGTTTTTGTTTTGCCCAATATTCCAATGCAGATTAAAACAATTCGATTTCACAAATTTTTTAACTCAATTTGCAGTTATCGTTTCGTGTTTACCTGTGAAAAATAACCGTAAACCGGCCTCGGAATTCATATATTCTTACGCTTTTAAATTCTTCAAATCAATATATCTGAAGAATTAATGAGATCTAATATGAATTTTTCTGATTTTTTTTCAGATATAATTTTAAACCAAAAAATGATAATGAACGAAATATGAGCTGTTTATAATTTATGGATGAAACGACAAACATACGAACTATTTCTGACGCGGAGGTTTTTCCGGCGACATGTTTGTCATGAAGTACGAGAGAAAAATATCGTCAATTGTCAGACGGATTTTTTGTATTTTGATTTTAGTGAAATTTGATGTTTGAAAACATGGAAAACTATTTATTATCGGAAAAGATTTTATAGTGAATATCATAAGATGGGAAATTCATCAGAAAAATGCCTGAACAGGGCATTAAATACCAGTTTAATTGTCATATTTGTTCTTCAATTGGTAAGAATTTTTATGATTTGTTGTTGTATCTGCTTTCATCGTCCTCCACCTAATCCAATCAATGTTGATGAATCAGGGTGGGATGTTGTCGTCATTGAGTGGATTTTTTTTTAAAAGGAAACCAATTGAACATTTCTGAGTGACCTCGTTGAGAAAATAAACAAAAAGTGGGCCTCTTCTTTTTTTTTGTTGAAATATTTTGTTGCAGGATGTTAATTAGCCAGCAGTCACATTTCACTGATGGAGATTTTGTGTCTGAGAAGCCTAGAGTTTTTTGGCTATTACATGTACACAGTATTCAGATTCTGGTGCAACACCAACGACTGTTCAGACTTGGTTGCTTTAGTAACAATGTCTGATAGAGGCTAGCCTCTCATCGTTACCCACTGTCCCTCCCTAAACAACAGGTACAGTAATATGAAAATAACGCTTTACACCAACTTCACCTTGGTTTTAAGACTAATTTGGAATCTTTACTGTCTATTTTTCACTGTGATTCTTCTTTGTTTGTCAAAAGGAATCATGTCTCGACACATCTGACACAAAATTATAATAATTGAACACTATATTCAAGTAGAATTTTGCGATTGAAAAACAAAAACAAATTCATTTGAATTGGACTTTCGTGATGAAACCCGCGCTGGCACAGAGGGAGGTTAAAGTTTCACTGCTATCTAGAGTAGGAATAGAATGTTGCTGTAAACAAAAATTCTTGCTGGAGCTGGACTAAACTGTCCGTATTGTAGGGCTAGACGATATTTTCGGTAATTCGATAAATCGCAATATTAAAATTTGAATTCCGATATTTTAAAAACCACCTAAAAAATCGCGGTATAATGATATATCGTATTGTGTGTTTTTCTATTAATATACCGGTATTTTACACGATATATCACGATATTATGTGCTGCATTTGGGATGGGATTGACATCGAACAATTTACGACATTACGTCACGATTGATGACTCGGATGACTTGTCACTTGTTCATTGACAAGGCCTACTAAATACATGAATAGTCTAGTGGTTTTCTCGATTATTAAACTTGAAAAATAAATTCATAATTGAAAAATTATTATTTAATTTATAGAGACATTCCCCGTCTTGCCGTTGGAATTTGTCATTATAATGTCAAACCCGTCGCTAATGCTGTGCAACACTCGAATAACCAGCCAAGTAAGTCATGGCATAATATCTTCTCTTCGTCGTCTTCGGTCGATTTATCATTGGCACCGTTGGGAAATAGTTATTACTATTTAATGTATGATGCCGTTTGTTAGTTAACTATCATTTTGTGTGTGTGTTTGGCTGTTTTTGGGGTTTTTTTGCCAATTTTTAAACTGAAGCCGATTTAAATAAAAGTAAAATGTTATTTGTAAATAAAACTAAATTGCGTCTAGATATTCGAGATTTAGACAATCTCCAGAGTTATGCGCTTTTGTAGTGTACCGAATAGGAGAAATTACGTTTGGTTCTTTGAGTCTACTCATACCCACATGTTATGTTATTCAACATTTTGGCGGAACATTGCGAAGCTCAAGCTGATTGAATAGTAGTAATAAAGCCTAACACGGTTGTAGGACATCTCCCCCTCCCCTCTCCACATTTGCCTAGCCAAAACCCTAACCCTTGAACTTAATTCTCGGTCTGTGCTTTTGAAACAGGAATAATGCACCCTAAGGGGGAGGGAATGACACTTTTAACACTTATATAATCACATCTTTTATAATAAAACTAAAATATCGGGATATTGTGATATATCGCGATATATTGTTAGCTTTTTATAATAAAACTAAAATATCGCGATATAGTGATATATCGTCGTTTTTTTGGGAAATATCCAGATATTTGATTTTACCAATATCGTCCAGCTCTACCGTATTGATGGGTGCGGGCTGTTTCGTAACCTGGCTGTTTCGTACTTTCAACAACATAGGAAAGGGTATGAATCAATTTGAGGTACGAAGCGGCTCATGTGAGGTACGAATGAACTACATTGTAAGTACGAAACAGCCAGGTTACGAAACAGCTGACATCAGTATTGATACCATGCACTAAAGTTTTTGTATTCATAATAAACAATTATTATATAAAATCGATTAATACATAATTGAAGTATAGCAAGATTTTTCGTTTATGGTAACATTCCATATTCCTGGATTTTGAACATTGACTGAGCAAAGATGCGAACCCATGACCTGCGCAAGTGCCGGTTTCATCATGGCAGTCTAATTCAAATGAATTTGTTTGTTATTGAGTCGCATTAAATTAGTGGCAGATGTGTCGAGACATAATTCCTTTTAGCGAACAAAGAAAAAAAGACGGTAAAGATTCCAAATTAGCCCTAGAACCAAAGTGGTGTAAAGCGTTATTTTCATATTACATGTTAATAGGGAGCTGGACAGTAACGATGAGAGGCTAGCCTCTATCAGACATCCTTGTCAGTGATCCAGGACGGAGGGCCTGACAAGGACAGTTGTCAGGTCATTTGGATGGGACAATAAACTGAGGTCCAGTGTACACATTGGTGTGTACGTAAAAGATCCCTTGACAGTTGGAATTCGATATAAGAGTAGGCTGTGGTGCCGCTGTCTGGGTCAGACTTCCCTCATACATAGCATACTGTATGGCGTATGCCCATCTTCATTAGCCCAGTTCGGAGCAGAACAGTAGGATGTTAAACCCCATTTCATTTCATTTTAGTTTTTACTCATAAGTTGTGTTTGTTTTATCAAATAGTACACGAGTTGGATTGATCTAATTTCCTTTTCAACTGATTCTCAAGTCCCAAATGGCGTGTACCTTAGTCCGAAACATTGAGAACCTAGTTTGGGGATCTTGTCACATTGATATTAGGCCGTCTACAACCAGGATATTAAAGACAGACATACACTATGCTGTATGATTATGATATCAATAAGAATGTTGCTCAGACAAAAAAATTTTTGTCTACTCCATTTCTGATTGTCAAGGGTTTACTTAACGTGCTCGGCAACAAAGCCCCCCACTTTCAAGCAATTTATTGATATAAAGTTGTACCATATGTTAGTCCAAAAATGACCATGTTTGCGTTGATTGGATAATATAGGTTATCTCTGGATCTCCCGGTTTCTTGGGGGTTGGATGGCTGAATGGTTAGCGTGTGCAATAAAAAAAAAAAAAACTATATGTTAGTCCTGAAATGCCCTAGTTTGTGTTGAGTGGACGTTAAACACCATTTCTCTCTCTCTCTCTCTCCCGGTTTCCTCCTTTTTATGACCTAATGTGTATCCAGTCAGACTTAGACAAATGTAAATTATTCTTTAAAAAAGTGAAATTTTTCAGCACGTTTTAACGAATAATCGACTCCTCTATATTGTATATTTTTGGACCAGATGGTTTGAAACTTGTCCCCAAGCCCTAACCCTTGCCCACAATCTCATCAACTATCTCGTGCCCTGACCCTGCTAACATCTCAAACCATGACAAAATCTGCAGTTGGCTCTAATTTTTAGACTTTATCCAAGCACTACTCATCTTTTTGTTCTGGAAAAAAGCATAAGGCCCCATCACTTAAACTTGGCATACATGTTCCTTAAAGGACCTCAATTTCTGATATGGTGTCACAATTCCCCCAAAAGTCGATGTTACCTTCCTCTGTTCGTAGTCCACATAGTACTATTTTCCTCATTAAAGAGTCCAAGGTCGCGGGTTCGCACACGGTGTTGGCAAAGAAAGTTTATCAGAATATTCACCTGGTCAGTGATGCAGGAAGGAGGTCCTGACAAGTTTAGCCGTCTAGTCGTTCGGATGGCGTGAAAAACCAAGGTCCCGTGCACGTAAAAGATTCCTTGGCACTTAGAATTGGCCCAGTAAAATTTCCCTCATACTAATAGCACACAGTCATGGTGTAGTCCCGTCTTCATTAGCCCAGCCGGAGTAGAACAGTAGGACGTTAAATCCCATTTTATTTCATTGCCTGGACAGCGATGCTACAGCCTAATCTTAAATATGGAATTCCAACTGCCCAGGGCATGCCAATATGTAAATAGGACCTCCAGGTTAGCGAGCGAAGCCACCATGGCTCCGTGTATGTACAAGACCATTGATCATTGTTTATATAAGTTTGTTGTTATAATTTCAGGTTGGTGCCATAGAGAGACAGGTGTTTGATTTTTTGGGCTATATGTGGGCTCCAATAATTGGTAATTTCTTCACGATAGCCTGTACTGTCATTGGTTTATTCGGAGCGTGTCAATATAGACCTAAATTTATTATTGTGGTAAGTAAAACCCGCTGTACAGGGCTACATGGTTGACGTGCGTTGTCACACTCCATCGTTCAAGTTTATTATAGGGGTTAGTAAAACCCACTATGCAGGCCATCAAGTTTGGGGTGCACTGTTGCACTCCATCGCTCACGTAAATTTATTACATTAGCACGGGAAACACACTATGCAGCCCTCACATTTGGGGTCCGCTGTCACGCTCCATCGCTCACCTATATTTATTAGATGTATAGTGTTTAGTAAAATACACTGTGGAAGCCTTCATGTTGGTGGTGCGCTGTCATGCTCCATCGCTCACCTAAATTTATTATATTGGTTAGTTAAACCAACTGTGCAAGCCTTCATGGTTAAGATGCATTGTCATGCTCCATCGCTCACATGGTGGCAACTGGCAAGTGAAACACACTGTAAGAACCAATATTAATGTTAGTAATTAAACATACATTATGCAAGAGCTAAATCTGCCTATTGCAGGTCTTTCTTTAGGCCTGAAATGTTATCTAAACTATTAATTAGACATTTATTAACAAAACAAGACCATAATCGACTCTCGATGGCATTGGAAACTCAAAATTTTAACTAGATTAAAACGGTTAGCCATTTAAAAATGGGAAAGCCAGGCTAAGTCTCGAATATACCAGTGCCCTGGTTACCACTGTGCACACATCTTGTCAAAACTACAAACAATGATAACTTAGCTGAGAATGAAGTAATTTGAATGAAATTTTCAATATTTTCTTTTTTTATCATCTATTTTTAAATTATTATTGCAAGAATGACCAACTCTTTATTAAACTCTTAACTAATGGCGAACTGATTATAGAATCCCTGTCCAACTACATTACTCAGTAAATGTTGAATCTCCGATAGAAATATTATTCGAAAAATGGTTCAGTTATATTCAGTATTAATTTATAAAGATGTGGCAAATTGAAAATTCCATCGATCTATGCCGCTCCCTATGTAACAAGATGATGCTACATGTATCTGCATTAGCCACGAACCAAATTGATGGGCATGTTTTAAATCCTATTGATTCCACTTGTCAGTGGTGCAGGATGTAGGGTTTGACAAGGACAGCTGTCTAGTCCTTCGAATGGTACAGAAAACCGCAGTCCCATGTACATGTATACATTGGCATGCACGTAAAAGATATAAGAGTAGGCCATAGTGCTGCTGCCTAGGCAAAAATTTCCGTCGTAGCACACTGTATGGCGTATGCCCATCTTGACTTCATTAGCCCAGTCTAAGCAGAACAGTAGGGCGTTAAACCACATTTCATTTCATTTTGCTGTCGATAGTGATGCATATATCAGGCAGTAACATCCTGGATTATGGCCCCTGATTGTACAAAAAGTTTTTTTTTTAGCTTGTTCTCTGTCCATCTCTTGTTCATGTTTTATTTGTATACTACAGTTTACGGTGTGGAGTTTATTATGGTTGGGATGGAACATGTTCGTAATTTGTTTATATCTAGAAGTTGGTGTCCTCAGTCGGGTAAGTATGACATAGATCATATCCTGGGACAGCATGGGGTGTGGGCTATGACAGTTAGTGGTTGGACTATGACAGCTAGGGGTGTGGTCAATGACAGTTAGTGGTTGGGCTATGACAGCTAGGGGTATGGTCAATGACAGTGGTTGGACTATTATAACTAGGGTTGGGCCAAGACAACTAGGGGTGTGGTCAATGACAGTTGGGGGTGTTCAGTGGTATTTTGAATATTATAGAGACAGGAGAATGTGTATATGTATACAAGTAATAGGTTTTGATATATACATATGTAATTTTAACAACAGGGAACTTAAATATCTTATTGGGAATTGATATATTGAATACTTTAAAGCCATGGAATCTAAGTATTAAATATTATTGTATAGACGAGAAATCTGTATTTTAGATATTATTTTATAGACGAGGAACCTGTATGTTATTATGTTCTAGCCCAGTAATCTGTATATATTGAATGGTTTTTTTTCTAGCACAGTATTCTGTATATTTTCTAGCCCAATAATTTGTATATTTTGTACCCCAGGAAACTGTATATATTAGATATTATTTTGTAGATGAGGAATCTGTATGTACATGTTATTTTGTAGCCCAGGAATCTAAATAGATAATTATTTTCTAGCCCAGTAATCTGTATATTTTGTAGCCCAGTAATCTGTATATTTTGTAGCCCAGGAATGTGTATATAATAGATATTATTTTGTAGACGAGGAATCTGTATGTATATGTTATTTTGTAGCCCAGTAATCTGTATATTTTGTAGCCCAGTAATCTGTATATTTTGTAGCCCAGGAATGTGTATATATTAGATATTATTTTGTAGACGAGGAATCTGTATATATTAAATATTGGTACTAAGAACAAGAGTTGGTGGTTAGAGCACGGTGTCGGATGTCGTATAACCAATACAACATGGTTACAAGAGGCGCCACCACCAGTAGATGCCAGTCGACCAATACCACCAGAAGAATTTGTGGAAGGATGTATGGTACAATATTACTATGTTGAGGTGATACATGCAGGTGTACAGTGTTTATTGTCAGTAAGTATATCTATCAGCTTGTCCCTGGACCATCTTCCCGAACTTATGGCTACGTGGGTGTTCGATCACTGGATTGGCAGAGAAAGTTCATCAGGATTTTCCGACGTGGTTTCCCCTTGTCAGTGGTGCAGAACGGTAGGCCTGACAAGGACAGCTGTCTAGTCCTTCAGATGGGACGGAAAACCGAGCTCCCGTGTATATATTGGAATGCACGTAAAAGATCCGTTGGCAGTTGGAATTCGATATAAGAGTAGGCGATAGTGCCGCTGCCCGGGCAAAATTTCCCTCATAGCACACTGTATGGCGTATGCCCGTCTTCATTAGCCCAGTATAGGAAGAGAACAGTAGAACGTTAAACCCCATTTCATTTCATTTCATTTATAAAGCTACGTTATCTCCCATTACGGCACAAACATGAACAGTAGCATCCAATCAGAGGTTTTGACACAAACACAATCAAATCAAACATGGCGACCTCCACATAAACCTTGACATTGAACGAACCTTGAACTTTGCAACCACATTATCACAGGTAGACATTTTAGCTGGAAAGCCTGAGACTTGGTACATGTATTTGCGATGATGGAGGAATCTGAAAGGCTCACAAGCTGGTCAGTACACAATTAAAATTAGTGCTGAAATATGCAGGGTATTACATGAAGGGCTTGATAAGATGTACGGAGTTAAAGCGAGATCAAGCCTTCTATTGAAGATGATCTATCAGGGGACATTAGGCACATGTCACATTGGATGGCCGAATGGTTAGCACTGCGCGCTGTATCATACGGCCTGTCATTGAGTCAACTGGTGTGGTTTCGAATCTCTGGTTGCACGTGACAAGGAGTTGGGTCGCCTGTCCAACTTCGTGGGTTTTCTCCGGGTCCTCCCGTTTCCTCCCACTGCTAAAGACCCCTACACGCAAGCAAATTATTGAAATGTTATATAAATTATTAGACATTAATTAACTTATCCAGACCATAAACATCGGATTTAAGCTAAAAATGGAGGAGCGAGACTTAGCTTCGGACAACCAGTACGATGTTTGAAATTCTTGCACACGTCTTGTCAAACCTTCAAAGGCTAATATCTTCGCTCGCAATAGAGTAATTTGAATGAAATTTTCAAATTATTCATTTTACATTATCTATTTTGGAACTATTATAGCAAGAATGGCTAGCTCTTTATCTTAATCTTAAATAATGTATGTTTAATCCGATTGCTTGTATGTGTATTGTACAGGTGATAGAGTTTATATTCTGAGTAGTAGAGATTTATCAAACACCTTGTATTGTATTTTACAGATTATAGGATTTATATTCTCAGTGGTAGCCATTTATAATTTATCTGAGGAGGACGACACGAGTAAGTACATCACTAACTCCCGAACCTATATCCGACCACGAGATTCCATTATAGTACGTTACGAACCTGTCAACCACTCAAATACTGTCATTGCTCCAACATATATATCTTACTCAGAAAGTGCTGAATTCATTGGTCAATCAAATCCTAATACATCGGATACGCTAGCTCTCATTGGTCCTCCTCGCTACATCAATCAAGCAGAAGCTCCTCCCACCCTTCATCAAATCCTACCCACTGGTATGGAGCTGACCAATCGGGTGCCCTTTGTAGTAGAACCGACCCATCAGCAGCCAGAAGTTTGACCTTTAACCCTGTAGATTATTAATGCTTGCCAGGTGTGTTCATTTTTTCTAACCTTTTATATTTTCATTCATATACTAATTTGCGAGATAAAATTCCAGCTATCTGTAAACATTTTCATTGTAAAGATGGGTTTGGGTTTAAAGTATCAACGAGAAAACAAAACTCTGGTCATTTTCAGACAAAGAGAGATGGGGTTTATCGTCCACTTAATACAAACTAGGTCATTTTCGGACTAACATATGGTCCATTTTATTACAATAATTCGCTTGCGTGTAGGGGTCTTTTGCTGTGGGAGAAAACCAGGGGACCCAGGGAAAACCCACAAGGTTGGTTGGACAGGTGACCCTACTCCTTGTCACAGGACTCAAAACTATCGACCAATGCAGGGATAGAACACCCAGATACCAAATCAAAAGGAGATTGTATAAAAAAATGGTTGGTAGCTGGAACTTTATTTTAATATTTCATCATCATCATTATCATCATCGTTATTTATTGCACTAATCTAATAGTATTTGTTTTTAATGTTTGCTAATATATTAATAGATAATATTTCAAGCCAGATTTAGTTACACATGCTTTAAACACTGATCCTATTTCGTTTCGTTTTTTATAGTTCAAAATTTAGTTTTACTTGACTTCACAACACTAGGATCTGGAAGAGTTGATATATCACCTGCTTTCTGATTAATGTTAGGGATTAGCCAATGAAACGGTCTGTTACGGCGAGTTTTTGATGTGAGTTGCACGGAACTGTGGGTAACCCAACCTACTAGAAACATCAATGCTGATTGGTTAATCAAATGTGTGACATCATAGGGTCAAAAACCCTCATATGACCTTTAACTCGTTCTATCGCTACAACCGGTCCTATCTTCATTTAATGTAGACGATCAAAAGTATAAATAACGAAATGAAATATAGATCTGTACTTTACTCCGATTGCTTTAATCACCTACACGTATTAGAGATGAGCCTTTTACAACATGATTATAATTTACAACATTGGTACCGGCCAATAAACTATTTATTATGCAAATTGGGGGCGCCGCGGTGACCCAGTGAGTTGAGGGAGCCGCTGTGACTCAGTGAGTAAGACAGGGCATTAACCTGGAGAGCGCATGTTCATTCTGAATTATCTATTTTCGAACTATTATAGCAAGAATGGCTAGCCCTTGGTGTAAATCTTACTTAATATATGTTTATATCTGATTGTTATCATCAAGTCACACCACATACTGTAGTTGTTAATCTTTTACAGGCATTTAGTAACATTTGTCCAAATAGTACAGTATCATAGATGACCTTGATTTGTTATTGTTTTATTATTTTTTTTTTTTTTTTTGTACAAAACAATGAAAAATGTATCAACCTTTGTCGACTGCTTGGACAACTTAGTTGCTATGTGTGTGTATGCTTTGTTGTCTGGCAACCAATCCTTGATATATATTCTGGCAACCTATCCTTGAAGTTTATTTTGTTGCCTGGCAACCTATCCTTGGTGTATATATTTTGTTGCCTGGCAACCTATCCTTTATGTATATTTTGAAACTGATTATATCCACTATTTTGACTTGATCTGGTTCCCTCTTGTCAGTGATGCAGGACAGATGACCTGGCAATGGACAATGTGTAGTCATTCGGATAGAACGGAAAACCGAGGTCTCATGTACACAATAACAGATGGAATTTGATATAAGAGTTGGCTGTAGAGTCGCTGTCCAGGCACACCTCATAACACACTGTATGACGTATGCCCATCTTCATCAACCCAGTCAGAGTGGAACAGTAGGACGTTAAAACCCCATTTCATCCATGTACATGTAGACAATCTAAAGCAGTGGACACATTAGCCGAATCGTTCGGCCGAATCAATCGGCGCCAACTTTTATTCGGCAGAATGGGTGGACACACTAGCCGAATGCTTTGCCCGATTCAACCTGCCGATTTCATCACCTTTCACGTCACATGATTAAACATGGCGGCGTCTATGTCTTCAATCTATCACGTGACTTCTCGATATGAGTGGTGATTGGCTAATGAATTCTATATTCGGCCGAATGCTACGGCGAAGCGGACACACCAGGCGAATATAACTATTTGGCCGAATATATCAAACCTGTTTGATTCGGGCGAATCATTCAGCCGAATGACAGTGGACACACTGGGTGAATTTCGACGCTAGTGTGCCCACCGCTTAATATATTACATCCTTCCTGTGCCACTAAAATGGGGGAAAACCCCTTAAAAACTTCCTCAGCCAACACCATGATTGAACTTAGAAGCTCCGGGATAGTACGCTGAGATCGAACACAGGAAGTCCTTGTTGGTGAGAAAATGTCAAACTACACCACTGTGGCCCCCCATTCCATGTATACAATGTTATAATATATGATGTTTATTATGTTACAGCGAGTCCAGCCAATGATGAACTAGAATTTGTTAAAATACGATATCGATCACCAGCCCACCACGCCTACAGAAACAACATCGCGTTTGAGGATATCAATCAAAATGATTTCTCATCTCTCGAACGACCCCCCAGCTACGATACAACCATGAGAGATACACAGATAGAAACGGCTGCAGCCAATCACTACTACGCGTCTGACAGACAGAGTTTACGCAGTAAGGCTAGTACACGATCTAAACGTTCTACACGTAACACGGGGCAACAGAAATACGAAGAAAAACGCGAGGAATTACCCTGGGTTCAGATAACACCGTCTCAAAACACCGAACAAATCAGACATTTCAGATAAGTCCTTATAATATAACATATTCATACGCTCGTGATTTGCTTGGGGACTATTTTGTGTCAATATTTGATACTCCCAAATACTGCGTGAAGTTTAAAAACGCTTCAATCATATGACATTTATTTATTATCTCGTTGTTGTGTCCCAACATTTTAACTTTCGGAGCAAACGTACGTTACCGATATCAATATTTAACAGAAAATACGAATATTAAAGATAGAAACTAGACCGTGGTTGTGCCTGATTGAACGACACAAAGCAGAATCTCGGTCGAAACTAGGATATGGTTGTTAGCTGATTGAACCTGAATTTCAGCTGAAGTTTGAGTTTCAACATAAGAAATTGTTTTTTATGTTTGTGATCTAGGGACAGATGTTCGAACTATGCCAGTCGTTTCTTCCCTGACTGCGATATAATTATTATCAGTTGTGTTGTGTGAAGAAAATCAACATCAGGGGCGTTTACAACCCGTGAAAATTGGACCAATTTGGACTTAATGTTGTCAAGATCTGTACACCTGTCACTATTGTACCCGCAGGAGTAGGGTCATCTGTTCAACCTCACAGCTAAAGACCCCTTCACGCAAGCAAATTATTAAAGTAAAATTAAAACGTATGTTAGTCCCAAAAAGACCTAGTTTGTGTCAAGTGGACGTTATATCGCATTTCTCTCTCCCTCTCATGAAACGGGAAAAAAACCGGAAAGTTTAATCTCGTAAATAATGATTCACAATGTTTAAAACGTTATTTCCCATTTTGTGAAATGGAAAATCATGAGGGCCCTGATTCATGAAATTTTAACTTAAGATAAAATCCAAATTTTAGTAGATACGTCAATTTTGATTGGCTAAGTACTAAAATCAATCTAATATGTCCAATCAAATTACAAAAATTTGGATTTTATCTCAGTTAAGTTTTCGTGAATAAGGGCCCTGAGGGACTAGTTACAAATGTCTGGGTACTGAATGTGTTAAAATACTATTGTCTTGTAATATCAACTGAAATATTTTAACAATACACGCCCTTACATTGGATAAGAGCTGAAATTTGGATCAGCATTTTAAATCTTAGACAATGAATATTTAAAGTATGTGACACTAGTTACAGGTGTATGGGCACGAAACTTAAACTGAAATAAATGTAGTTTAAGAATCTATGCCTTACATTGTATCAGAATTTGAATTTGAATTCTTAGACAATGAATAATTAAAATATTTTAGTTGAAGTTTTTGTGAATACGGTCTGAGAATATTTAATTTCCAATAAAACCATTCCTTTATACTTTATCACTAAGACTGTCTGAAATTTGGCCCCCTACAAACTTTATCACTTAAACTGTCTGAAGCATGAACCCTTATCAAACGCTGCTAAACCTGGTCTCAACAAACTGCCTGTGTCACTTGAATAACTTTGGAGTATTAATAAAGGACAGTATACTGATTCTGTGACACAGGATGTTTAAAGTGATCCTAGGTCAGATCTAAACATTAAGGCCATCTGCAGATTTTGTCACAGTCACAAAAACAGGGCTGACACTAACCCTAACCAACAATCACGTGTCTAGCCCTGTTTACATCTCGTGACCTTGGCGTTATCTGCAGGTGACCTTAATATTTAGATCTGACCATGATCCTACGAGCAGTGGTTTTTGGAAGTTCCGATGGAACCTGGTGTTGTCAATATTTACCGGTACTTTAATGAGTGAACTTTAAATGTAAGCAGCATATATTGTGCTGTTAGTTATCATGGGGTATCAGTTTAATAATGATGTAATTAATTGGTCATTAAATCTCTTAAAATCATCTTCAGAGATACAATGTATCATTATACACCTGTTTAATGATGAAAGAGGTAAATCTGCCTATTGCAGATCTGTTGTTAAAGATACATTCCCAGAAAAGTATTTATCGGATGGTTATTTCCAATAAAAGTATGGCAATTTTGGTATATATGGAAAGTAGAAATATCCAATCTTACTAGAAAAATACTGGATTCCCTGAAAAACACTCATGGAGCGTATACAGGACAAAAATGTAAGGGTTCCCATAATCCACAGCCTGACGATTAGGAATTTCTGCACGCGTGATGTCAAAGGTTACACTCAAAAATTGAGCGCTTGATGTACAAGTTGATAAACTTTATGAAGAGTTAGACGTACAACGCTTTCTGAGATAAAAATGACGGAAAAGACATGGGTAGTGGATAATCCTAGTCAAAACGTCGATCAGTAATAAGCAGTAATTGTACTCCATTGAATTATCACTTCTATAATTATTGTTTCAAACCAGGAAATAGATTTATAAAGTTTAATAAGTATACTATATACCATAGAATTGTCACTTGTATAATTAAATTATTGTTTCAAACCAAGAAATAGATTTATATATCACTTCTATAATTAAATTATTGTTTTAAATGAGGAAATTGATTTATAAAGTTTAATAAGTATATAACATACCATAGAATTATCACTTCTATAATTATTGTTTCAAATGAGGAAATTGGGTTATCTAGTTTAATAAAAATGTTTTTTGGCTTTCACAATGTTGATAAAGGAACACAAAAGTTAATAATACCTCGACAATAGTTTTTTGTTTGATCTATTGTCATCTTATAAAGAAATATTTACACCCCAGATGAAAGATATGCAACATTTTATTCATTATATCACTGTATATTTCATGATGTTCAAATAATTTGTATTAATTTATTTTATTAATGGCTTGATGGGGAAGGTGACAAATTTCATTTTGTTGTTTTTTAAAATTAAATGCTGCACCTGATTATTTTGTATAGGTTATATTGATAATCAACACTTTATTCACCATTTAAATTGGACTGGACTCAACTTTCTTGTCAAAGTAATTTGAATTCAATTTTTATTACCTATGTTTGAACCGCACGTTACTGGATCTTGACCGATCTGTAGAATATCTGTCAGTGTTTATACCCACAATTCTAACCCTAACCCTTCAGAATAGTTTTAGCCACAATCCACCGTTTGTACGTTTGACATGTAATTTATAAACCTAACCTGGAACCCTAATACAGGAGAAAGATAGTCTCCAGATGATACAAAGATCTGGTATTATTCGTTGGGAGATGCTAATTGTAGGCCGGTTGGGGAGGTTCGGGTGTTTCCGGAATCCAAAATGGCCGCTTTATATAAATGAAAATTTTGGAGAATACTAACCCCTAATCCTAACCCTAACCCTTTTTAGAAGACTGAACTTGGATCTAATTTAACGTTTACCCCTCTTAAAAGGGTTAGGGTTAGTATTCCCCAAAATACTCATTTATAAAAATCGGCCATTTTGGGCTCTGGAAATTCCCGAACCTCCCCAACCGCCCTACAATTAGCATCTCCCTGATTTGAACCAGTGATGGGATTTCAAAATTTTAGTTGTCGGACATTTTCTTCCCTAAAATAAAGGGACATAACTCTTATCGTTATTTAAGCAGGCGTTTTCAAACTTTGAACAATTAAAGCAAGGACATTTAGCTTGTTATCTAAATCTTACATCTTTAACTGGCATGTTGTTTAAATGTGTCTTGTAGGATGATGTAGATATCTTGTTTTACATGTGTGTGTCGAGATCATCAGGTTTTATTTAATCTATTGCTTTGGTTGTTAATTTCATGTCACGATTATCCAGTATATTATCACTATGTTTATGTAAATATATATTTATGTCACGATTGTCCAGTGTAAATATTCTGTGTATATAAACTAATTAATAAGTTGTATTGAGTTAGTACTTATATTCCCATCAATGGGTGATCAGGGGTTTGACATGCATGGGCGTCACACATGGGGGGGGGGGGGGGGTCTGACCCAAAATTTACATAGCAGGCACAAACTCCTATTTATTTACAACAATTATTAGGATTAGTTAAGATTCTATCTGTATAAAACCTGTACATATCCCAATATGGTTTACATTGCTAAAATAAACACAGAGAGAATCATCCTGGAAACATGTGTGAAGTGAAAAGTACCGGTGTTCCATAAAATTGTGTCTAGTTAGCCTGTCAGTAATATTTTGTTAATTTTTTTCTGCCATTCTGCCACTTATCAGAGTGAATCGCATGTAGGTGCCCAAAAACATTATCGCCTAAACCAAATATTTATCGCTGCTCAGCCAGCAACGTAACCATAATGCTTTGCACGCGGTGTCTTGGTAGACAGCATGGCCACATGGTGTTTGTTTATATTTTTTAGGGTTTTAAAAAATGGGTTAGGGTTGCGGACCCCCCTTCAATATATATTTCACAGCTACGCCTCTGTTGGCATGCATTTTAAATCACAGGGTCTGTTTTCATGCTTGTCCACGACAAGTTGGTCACCCGTTTCCTTCCACAGTTAAAGACCCCTACGCTCAAACGAATTAATGAAATAAAATTGAACCATGTTAGTCCCAAAAAGATTGTCGACCACTAATAATCTGTATTGAGGTATCAATCGGCCCGTTAGTATTTACATGTATATACCCAATGTAGCAACCAGTGTTACAGTAAGTTGTCCAGTGATAGGGGGCACGGTGGGTAAGATGCTGGCTTGCTAGCCTGGAGGTCGCGTGTTCGATCCCTGCATTGGCCGAGAAAGTTTACCCAGATTTTCCGGGGTGGTTCCACCTTGTCAGTGATGCAGGCACAGAGCCTGATAAGGACAGCTGTCTAGTCATTAGGATGAGACAAAAAACCGAGGTCCCGTGTACATGCACATAAAAGATCCCTTGACAGTTGGAATTGATATAAGATAAGGCTGTAGTGCCGCTGTCCGGGCAAAATTTCCCCTCATAGCACACTGTAAGACGTATGCCCGTCTTCATCGGAGCAAAACGTGACGTTAAACCTCATTTCATTGTCCAGTGATAGAACTATCGCCCAAGAAATGACTGCCACAAATATTCTGATCATATCCACTGAATCAGCTTTAGTTAGGGGGTTAGAATATTCTAGTCCAAGACTCCATTACACAAACCTGATTTTATGGGATATGATTCTATTGTTTCAGGAATAAACCTGAATACCTGTAGTAAAATTTACATGGTTGCTCAGGTAACCAACTAATGAAAACGGGCATACTCCAGTGTGCTGTAAAGGAAATTTTTCCCGGACATCAGCGCTACAGCATACTCTTATTTCAAATTCCAACGGCCAAGAGATCTTTTAAGTGCATGCCAACATGTACATGGGACCTCGTTTTTTTGTACCATCTTAACGACTAGACCACCGTTCTTCTCCGGCACATGTAAAACTTTGATGAACTTCTAGGGTAGAGAACATTGCAAAGAAGTTCAACATGTACATAGATTTTTGTCCTATCCATGTTTAACGGTCAAAGATTTATGAAAACTGTCAACCAGGATATTGTAGTCAAATAACGTAATATGACACGTTTATATCATTAGACCCCAACAAGCAAAAGTTAACCTTCCTGTATTTGGTCACTCTGCAAACCTCAGCAGATTCCTCTACTCTACATTAAGCTTCCACTGTATGACGAAGTCTGCCATTGGAACTATATACTTTCAAGTTCCCATTTTACAAACGGCATTGTCCATGAAGAATGTTTTACCATACAAAATATTTCAAAGTCTGGAGCTATTTTTTTTTCCAATTTCATCCAATTTTCTTCAAACAAGAACAACTTTGCACTGAAAATTTTACACACGCTTCAAATGACGCAATTTTGTTAAGTTTAAAAGCGGAAAGTTTTCCTAATAAGTAAACCGGTGCCGCATTGCAATTGTATAGGCATAGGTACATATCAGTTGCCGTCATACAGCTGAGGCTAGATGTAGAGTAACAGAATCTACCGAGGTTTGCCGAGTGTGTATTTGGTATGTCACATCAATAAAGCCCAGTCCCCAGTGTGTCTTGTTAATTTATCACTTGCAACTTGCCTCCAAGTTGAATGCGGGCTTGAAAATGTTTAAGAAAATAAACCTTGGACTTGAAATAAATTGTGGTTTTACCCGAACTTGTCTAACGATGGGCAGAGATCACATGCAGTAGTTAAAATGAAAACAAAATAAAATGGGGTTTAACTCAGAGATGGGATTTCACCTGTAGGACATGTTCAACGCTATTTTCCAAACGTCCTACTTTAAAGTCTTACTGTTCTGCTCTGACTGGGCTAATGAAGACAGACATATGTCATACAGTGTGCTATGAGGGAAATTGTATCAGGGCAGCAGCACAATGGCCTACTCTTATCGAATTCCAACTGCCACGGGATCTTTTACGTGCATGCCAATCTTTACACCGGCTTTGGTTTTCCGTCCCATCCAAACAACTTGTCCTGCACCACCGACAAGGGGGAAACAGCGTTGGGGAAATCTCGAACTTTCTCGACCAATGCAGGGAACGAACTCACAACTTACAGGAACAGACAATAAATAACAATGTAACAGATTTATTCAGTTTTTTTCTTTATTTTAACTGCACGATGACAGTTCGGAGTTTAACTCCTTTTCTTAGATTTAACTTTCTTCATGTAGAACTCGAGTTCTTTTCCTTCTAAGACAAATCCATCACATCGTCCACAATTACCAGGTCGAGATGCGATTTTTACTGAAAATACACAGAAAAAAAGTTATGAGTATTAATGAACTATTAAAATATGTAGCAAGTTTGGTTTTTTTTGTAAACAATATTTTACTTTATTTGAAAATGGATTGGAGAACAGACTGGGCCTATGTTAACTCCTTTCCAGGAGTAGCAAGTTGTCTGTACTACCATTTCAAAACACTTTCTCACTATTAGAAATGAAAGACACCCTCCTCCTCCTGTCAATAGTTGATTGCTAATTTACTGACTCAAAGCTAGATTGGACATAAAGCACCCTGTCACAGACTGTCCAGTATAAATTATCATGCATCTGAAGACAGGAGAGAGATATGGGGTTTAACGTCCACTCAACACAAACTAGGTCATTTCGGGACCAACACGTGTTTTTTTTGTTTTTTGAATTTTATTTCAATAATTCGCTTGCGCGTAGGTGTCTTTAGCAGTGGGAGGACCCGGAGAAAACCCACGAGGTTGGACAGGCGACCCTAATCCTTGCCACGTACAACCGGGGATTCGAAACCACGCCAGTTGACTCAATGACAGACTTTATGGTACAGCGCGCACGTGCTAACCATTCAGCCACCCAACCCACCTTCTGAAGATAGGAGCCATAAAAACACTGACTGAAAATGTTATGAAACCATAGAACTATTATTGTCTGCCTACTAGTAACTGTTATTCATATTGAATGAATCCGTGTCGCAGAGGCTGATCTATCTAGCACACATTCATAAGAAATAAATTGTATAAAATCTATTCCTAATTTGGACAGTATGCAAAAAAAGGTTATGGCTGTCATTCCAAGTATGAAATGAAATGAGGTTTAACGTCCTACTGTTCTGTCCCAAATAGAAATGAAATGGGGTTTAACGTCCTACTGTTCTGCTCCTAAACTGGGCTAATGAAGACGGGCATACGCCATACAGTGTGCTATGAGGGAAATTTTGCCCGGGCAGCGGCGCTACGACCTACTCTTATATCGAATTCCAACTGCCAAGGGATCTTTTACATGCACGCCAATGTGTACATGGGACCTCGGTTTTTCGTCCCATCCAAACGACTAGACAGCTGTCCTTGTCAGGCCCTCCGTCCTGCATCACTGACAAGGGGGAAACCACGCCGGTAAATCCTGATGAACTTTCTCGGCCAATGCAGGGATCGAACACCCGACCTCCAGGTAAGCGAGCCAGCGTCTTACCCACTTGTAGATTGATAATTTTACATCAAAACAGTTGTACAAATAAAAGCAGAAATATTTTCCACGTAATAATTTGAACTTAAAATCTGAAATCCTGAGAGAGAAATGGGGTTTAACGTCCATTCGACACAATCTAATTCATTTCGGGACTAACATATGGTTCAATTTTATTTCCATTAAAATTTCGACTGTAGGGGTCTTTAGCTGTTGGAGGAATCCAAAGAAAACCCATGAGCTTGTACAGGCGACCCTACTCCTTGCCACGTACAACTGGGGAATCGAAACCACGCCAGTTGACTCAATGACAGACTGATACAGCGAGCACATGCTAACCATTCAGCCATCCTAACCCCCATTTGAACTTAAAACCTGAAATCTTGAGAAATTGAAAATAACGGTTCCCAAAGGACAGGTCAGTTTAGTTTCTACTCTATTATTTATGTTTAGGCAACTTTAGAGATCGAGTGTTGCCTCTTTTATTGTAAGGTCTGAAAATAGTTTAATAACACAATTTTATAGTATAAATTAACGAAGAGTGATTTCATTTGTGGGTTTGATTTGTTGTTTTTCACCAACCGGGCTAATCTTGATGTAATATGCAATACGGAATGGACGACTATTTCCACCTTCTTACACAAGTAACCCAGCAGAATAGTCTTACAACACAGGATTTCAATCGCTATTGAATGGACAAGGTTTCAATCCAAAAAACTTTAACTGACAATTTGCAAGATGACGGGCAAATACACAAGCCTGGAAAACGAGGCACCTGTCACAGGTACAGTCCTCTCCTAGTTTCTCTCGTACATCAATGTTTTAAAATATATTATATTATTTACAGGTGTATTATTACCTGAAGCTTAAACCAAATTATTGTTCAGAGTTCAAAGTAGCCAAGTCTCTAACTCAATATCATCCAAAGTCTTACACATTGAAAATACGAATTATTAAATTGTCAATTCAAATCAACATTGATGTTGCGATCTTACCAGGAAAAGGCAGGCTTCTGAAATCCTATATTTAAGACAAAATAAACATTTTACCATTGGTACACGAATCGTGTACCATAGTGCGTTTTAACGTCATTTGCAACAAGTGACCAGAAAGGAGGCTAGACATATTCAACCCTAGAAACTGCTATAGGGTTGAGACACATGCCGTACTTCGCTGGACACGACCGATTTGAAATTCGAGTCAAAACGGGAACAATTGAATGTAAATCAGTTTATATACAATCAGATTACATTATTATATGCGTTGTGACCCATTTGGGTCTATTTCTAGGTCCCAAATATTAGCGATTTAGCTCCTTTAATTCATTGCACAAATTTTATTTTAGTAAATGAATGGGCTACATTCTTAAAGCATTTTAACTGAAATTTGTGAATATGGCCTGAAGATAGAAAATAAAAAGTTTTTGAGACAGTCAGAGTAACTATGACAATAGGATTCCTTGGAAATCAGAACGAAACCAAAACGGTTTCTAAATTCCCTCTCCATAGAAGTCTCATCATTCTGTCGATAATATAAGTGGAAACATGGTCCAGTCTTTTGTATGGAGTTAAACATTGTCCAGTCTTTTATATGGAGTTAAAACAGTATATCATCCAGTGGCGCCGCCACAGTCATGTTCAAGGAGTTAATATCGTTAATAAAATAAATGTGGGAATACAACTAGCACATCACTATCACTGCTTTTTGGGATTTTTTTTTTTTTAGACATCGCCATAATGGTTGTCACCTTCCAAGGAGTTAATAAGTAATTACCAGCAAAATACCATCTTTTCAAAAGATTTTATCATGTGATCAACATTCCCTGAAGTCGACCTATATGATTAACATACCTAGAAGTCGACCATTACGGAACTGTTCTTGAAGTGAAGGTTCAACTTTAAACAATTTTTTTCTGTTCTGTCGTCGTTTGAAGAGAACTTCCTTAGATAACTTCTTCACCTTGACACTTTCTCTTGCTGCTCTTTTAGCTTTCTCTTCATCCGTTTTCTTGCCTGCCTGAAATAAAACAAATCATGTCAATAAAAACATTTAACACAATCTAGATTAATTTTCAAAACTTCATGTTATTTATTGCTAGAGGTGATAAAGAGGGTAAAACTTATTGCCAGTGGCGATACAGGGGGTAAAACTTATTGCCAGTGAAGATACAGGGGGTAAAACTCATTGCTAGTGGCGATACAAGGGGTAAAACTTATTGCCAGTAAACTTATTGCGAGTGGCAATACTGGGGGTAAAACTTATTGTTAATGGGAATACTATGAATAATTTTACACATCGATGCATCAAAAGGAAATATCAATCGTCATTAGTCAACAAATATGGATTCTAATGAAAACGATGGTATTAAACTCCGTCTACCATTTTAACAGAATGGCGTTATTTATATTTACTAGGATCATATGCTCGTGATAAAAATTTTGCTTCGATAGTCGTGCATTTCGGCGAATGGTGCAATGATGGAGGTTAAAGGACGAAAATAATGTAAATTTTGGAAACCAGTGGCTATGATATCATTTCTATGGGAGAATTCATGCAATCAAAACTACTCGATCAAAGAAAAAACATCTAAGTGAATCAGTAGAGGTTAGATTCCCCGACATTACGAATTGTTTAAAAACAATGAAACGAAGCGAGGGCCGGTAAAATCAGGGCTTCAAGAGGCATTGTATTTTATCGTATATCGTCGAGTTGGGTATGGTGTATATATGCGGATAGGTCGGGCTCCTGTGACGAAACATGAATTGTCAATACATTTCAAGATTGTCTGGTTGGGGTGGAAGGTCAAAAATCAAGTTGAAACTCAAAGCTTCGAAATCTGAAGATCAGAGTCATAAAATCACTTCTGGAAAATGTTAGTAAGACAAAATGAATTATTGTCTGCCTACTAGTAACTTTTTCATATAGAATGAATCCGTGTCGCAGAGGCTGATCTATCTAGCACACATTCATAAGAAATAAATTGTATAAAATCTATTCCTAATTTGGACAGTATGCAAATATTTATGAAGATTTCACTCTCCCGTTTTCAGAAAATATTTTAGTCGTTAAAATGAATGCTAGTTTTCCTGGCACAAGGGATAAGTAGTATTAAGAGTATATTTCAAAATAATTATAAATTTACAAAGAGAGAAATGGGGTTTAACATCCACTCGACACAAACTAGGTCATTACGGAACTAACATGGTTTAATTTTATTTAGCAGTGGGAGGAAACTGGTGGACCCGGAGAAAACCCAAGAGGTTGGACAGGCGACCATCCAACCCCCCGATTATAGGAAGACACAAGATGATAGATAGTGTGATGTTATGAGAGATAAATGGGAGACGAATGTCCACGGATACAAACTAGGTCAGGGCCATCATTGATATGTAAACTGTTTTTTGATTGGTTCGTAGATACGACCTATCAAGTGCAGATAATTCAAATTCATGAAAACCCTGTTCAGTGGAGTAGAATAGACCAACATCTCATTCAATTTTATTTCAATATTTCGCTAGGAATATATCCAAGAACCCAGAGAAAACCTGGGAGTGTGTACAGGCTGCGTACAAGCTGGGAATCAGTGGTACTGGTCGTTTTGCTTGGATGTCAGTCTAATAACCTAGTCAGCATGATTTTAATCAGCCGAAAGATGGTGATAGGTTTTAATCATCATACATCCATTCATACCAATTGTATTGGTCTGGGTCAAAATGAAATAAAATGGGGTTTAACGCCCTGCTGTTCTGCTCTGACTGGGCTAATGAAGACAGGCATACGCCATACAGTGTGCTATGAGGGAAATTTTGATGAAGGCAGCGGCACTATCGCCTACTCTTACATCGAATTCCAACTGCCAAGGGATCTTTTACATGCATTCCAATGTATACACAGGACCTCGGTTTTTCGTATCATCTGAAGGACTAGACAGCTGTCCTTGTCAGGCCCTCCGTTCTGCACCACTGACAAGGGGAAACCACGTCGGAAAATCGGGATGAACTTTCTCGGCCAATGCAGGGATCGAACACCCGACCTCCAGGCTAACGAGCCAGCGTCTTAACCACCTAGCCATGGCTGAAACCATTTTTATATCTTTTTGTTAATACCAAAATATGAAATATAGTGTCGAAACTTAGCCTCAATTTATGTCATTTTGTCTGGAAATAAACGTTTCTAATTCCAAGGACAAGGTATCTTTTACGTACACTATCAATTTATACGACAGTGTTTCATCACAGCCAATCAACCTGAGAGGGGGTGGGGTGGGGCGCGGGTCACAACCAATCCAAATAAGATGGGGTGATAAACAATCAACCTGTGAGTGGCCATGTTAGATTCGCTTCCATTAATTTCCAATTTCAACGTTTCAGTTGAATTTTAGTTAAGGATATACCATTGTTTGGGGTTTATTTTGGTTTTTTTAAAGTTACAGACAGGCAGGCATTTTATGCAAGTGCACATGTCCGGACAGTGTCTTACTTTATCAATCAACCTGGCCAATACCTGTAAACTTCTACTCTACATAAAGTTGGGTCATTTTGCAAAGAGCACGAGTAAATGGCTTAAAGATACATTATGTAAGATTTAGATAAAGAGCTAGCCATTACTGCTATAATAGTTCGAAAATAGATAATGTATAATGACTTAATTTGAAAATTTCATTCAAATTACTCTATTGCGAGCGAAGACATTAGCCTTTGAAGGATTAACAAGACATGTGAAAAATTTCAACTACCATACTGGCTGTTTGAAGTTAAGTCTCGCTCCTCCATTTTTAAATTAAAATCAAAATATAGCTAAACTTTTCTAATCTATTCAAGAACAGAGAAATCTGATGCCATCAGGAGTTGATTATGGCCTTGATCAGTTAATGTCTAATAATTTAGATAACATTTCAGGTCTAAAGACCTGCAATAGACAGATTTAGCTCTTGTATAATGCATGTTTAATTGCCGTAAAAGCTACCACTTTGTTGGACAATCAAAGTAGTTTGCAGTAGATAAAACCTGATGTTGATATTTTAATGCAAAAATTTTCAGATTTAACAATCACCCACGGAGAAATTTATCTCACTGACAATTATAGCTCAGATATAATTAAATTATTTTTTGTCTGCCTACTAGTAACTGTTATTCATATTGAATGAATCCGTGTCGCAGAGGCTAATCTATCTAGCACACATTCATAAGAAATAAATTGTATAAAATCTATTCCTAATTTGGACAGTATGCAATTTTTCAACCTACAGATTTTTCGGATATTATAACAGTATACAAATATTTATATGAAATGGGGTTTAACGCCCTACTGTTCTGCTCCAACTAGCCTAATGAGGGAAATTTTGCCTGAACAGCGGCACTACGGCCTACTCTTGCATTGAATTCCAACTGCCAGGGGATCTTTCACTTGCATGCCAATGTGTACACGGGACCTCACCAACACAGGGAGCGAACCTGCGACCTCAAGGATAGTGAGCCAGCGTCTCGCCCACTTACCCACCGTGGCTACCCGGTCATTTATATGTATCAAATTTTACATTTGTTAGAGGGAAATATGAGTCTTATTGCTCTGCGAGAGAAAGAAATGGGGTTTAAGTCCACTAAACACCGACTAGGTCATTTCGGGACTAACATGGTTTAATTTTATTTCAATACTTTGCTTGCGCGTAGGGGTCTTTAGCAGTGGGAGTAAACCGCAGGACCAGGAGAAAACCCACAAGGTTGGACAGGCGGCCCTACTCCTTGTCACATAAGGAATGAAATAAGACTCTTATAGTTCTGTACTGACTGGGATAATACAGGGAGAGAGAAATGGGGTGTAACATCCACTCGACACAAACTAGGTCATTTCGGGACTAACATATGGTTTCATTTTATTTCAATAATTCACTTGCGCGTAGGGGTCTTTAAGCAGTGGGAGGAAACCGGAGGACCCGGAGAAAACCCACGAGGTTGGACAGGCGACCCTACTCCTTGTCACATACAACCGGGGAATCGAAACCATGCCAGTTGACTCAATGATAGGCTGTATGATACAGCATGCATGTGCCAACCATTCAGCCATCCAACCCCCCAGGCTAATACAGAGCAGCAAACAATGTAGTATAGTACGAGGGAAATTTTTCATGAATAGTGCCATTGCATTCTCCCTCCCTCAGCTCCTGTCAGAAGTTAATTTAAGTAGATTGAACATAATTTTACTTTTAGACCATTTCTCACTACAGACAAATTTAAATCAACATTGTCGTTACCTTTTTTGTAGATTTCTTTCTTGGTATAACTGGGAGACCAAAATGATTTTCAAACCACTGTCTGAAGGGATTAGCATCAACTTGAATGATGGCACTTTTCACCAATGTTTTAGTTCTGACGAGTTCGTTACTACTAGCATTATACACCACATCCAATATACGTGTCTTACGGGTTATACCTGAAAAACACAAAATACTAGCGTTATACACGACATCCAGTTTCTTAAATTCTATCCATCAGGGTTCTCTTACGTGCACACCAGGGTCAACACCGGACCTGGATTATTAGTTCCATCTAACTTGAAACATCCTTGCCAGACCCTCCCTGCTCTGCACCTCTGACAAAGAAACCACAGGAAAATACCAGGGATCAAACCCTGGATCTCCAGCACACAATTCGCTGAGCCACCATGGTTCATCTAAGGGAGAAATATTGTAGAAGAAAATCACTACCTTGGTCACATGTGCAATGCCACAGGACAGCGTTAGAGGGAGAATTTTGACAAGGCAGATGATAAAAGAGTTGCGAGTTTGCTTGGATGTCAGTCTAATAACCTAGTCAGCATGATTTAATCAGCCGAAAGATGGTGATAGGTTTTAATCATCATACATCCATTCATACCAGTTGTATTGGTCAGCTCGGACTTTAACCCAAGTACACCTTTCTGACTGGAAGGACACAAACAAACCTATTGTACACAAGGGGAGGTAACCTCAATGTCTACCTATTTTATTTTGAATTCTGTCTAGGGTCTTTTCAATCACGCCAACATGCCCATGGGAATGACCAGATACCGTCCTTTATAGGCCCCCTGTCCTACACCACTGATGGGGGGGTCGTGGGACCAGTTAACCGTACTGGAAAATCCTGAGTTTAAGGTACTTTCTCTCCGCCAGTCAAGTCGTTACCTCAATAAGCCACCCAGAATAAAGAGTGGACATACCTTGTGTTGACCAGTTAACGTTGCTATTCTCCAGTCTCAAAGCTCGCTGTTTAGTGTTCCCTCCCCTTGTACGTACTAAATGGATTCTTTTCGGTCCCAACTGAAAATAGAAAATCATTGACCTTAATAAATATTCTTCACATTATTGTGGTTTATAAGGTAACAGAGCTTTGAACAACTAGTCCCAAGATCTATTCAAAAGACATTGCGATTTTTATTAGAAGTTAACATAGCTTTGAACAACTAGTCCCAAGATCTATTCAAAAGACATTGCGGTTTATATACAAGTTATCAGCTATGAATAAACGGCCCCCCTAACTTAAACTAAGTTACAACCGAAATTAAGACTGCAACTTCATTGGATATATGCAAATTGATTTTACTGGTCAGCCAATCGAATTGCAGTATTTCGAAAAAAAATTTGATTGTATCTTAGTTTAAGTTTTCATGAATAAGGGCCCTTGACTATTTACATTTCTTAATAAATTTTCCACGGTTTAATCTAAATTAAAATGAACACAAATTGATTAAACAAAACATCACTGATGGTGGATTATCTCTTCAATTCAGATTGAATACAGTAGTTTGTAATTTTATTTTTGTCTGTACCCGGTCATTTCGATCCTTTGTAGAACCCAATATCAGGATTTTTTCCTGTATTTTATAAAGGAAATTTATTTTTGTCTGTACCCTGTCATTTCGATCCCGGTATAAATAATATAGGAGCACATGGATTTGACAGGGTCCAGCCCACACCTAATACAAGATTAGGGGACTGGGTTTATCTCCAATGTTGTGGAAAGGAACATATCAAATCCTCAAAATAAAAGGATATTCAAATTCCATACGCCACATCTGACAGCCTAGGTTAGACTGCCTACATTGGAATTACTAAATCAATTTACAACTATGTGCCAATTACCTGGATTAGTGGTCCTATTAAATGCAGATTTTATTTTTCAATATTCAATTTGCTTGAGATGATCAATTCTGAGGTGATTTTTGTCCAGTTTCAAATTTCTAAAAACTACAAATCTTTTAATCAACATATATTTTCCTTTTTTTCTTCTGTATAATTTGAAATACGAGTTAATTTTATTACATGAACGTAACATTTCACTGGTATAATTATAAATGATATTGAATAACGAATACTAAATCAGTACTGCAGAAAATTATTTGAATTCAAAACATTGTCACATTTCTCGCGAACCAATGATCGTGATATTAAATATTGAGATTTATCAATTTGAAATTTGCGCTCTCATCTGTGTCCATCAAATAATAACGTTTATGTAAATGGCATTCTGTGTCCTGATCTATATGTATGAAATATTAAATCATAAATAAATCTTATTTGATGACCAGAGATAAAAGCACAAATTATTAACCATTTTTCTCCATACTTGAATATATCCGATTCTTCTGAGAAATGTGACGATTTGTACAAGATCTGTATTAAGGGAGACCTTTTTTTTCTACAATGTCACTTAACAGACATCCTGCTGTTGTGACCAAGCTGAATAAATCGTGATCTAATACGAAGCATCATGGTTTTAAGAGATTGCAGCATGTTCGCAAGAAATTTGGAAGTTTGAGCTACAGGGCAGCAAAGAGAAACCGCAGTTTCAATTTGGGTGTACAAAAGATATGGATTATTGTAGTTACTGGTGTTTCAGAAAGAAATTGAATGACAGACCAACGCACAACAAAAATATACGACCCCAATCAAATGTAGGCGAAAATAAATTTAGATTTTTAGGTGAATTCAACAGGAATTGAATGTACATGTCTGTACCCTGTCATTTCGATCCCCGTATATAAATAATATAGGAGCACATGGATTTGACAGGGTCCAGCCCACACCTAATACAAGATTAGGGGACTGGGTTTATCTCCAATGTTGTGGAAGGGAACATATCAAATCCTCAATTACAAGGATATTCAAATTCCATACGCCACATCTGACAGCCTAGGTTAGACTGCCAACATTGGAATACCATCACATGTTTCTGGCTGGTTATTTTTAGAATAATATTGTTGGTACTATTAGTACCAGTAGTGGAGGCACAATATTGTTGAATCGATGTATCGAGATTCATCTTTTAATTTGTGTATTGAATCACAAAAGACTAAATCGCAATTTTCTCTTAATTCGTGTATTGAATCACAAAATGCTGAATGGCAAGTTTTTTGTCGCTTCAGTAGGTAACATGTCACTAATTAAACACAGGTACACAAAAACTCTTAAATTGTTTTGCCATTGGTCCTTATTTTGATCCACATCAATCATATAGAATAATTTTTATATCTTCGACATCGGCAGGACTAAAAATATCAATTATTTAGTCAACCCGTTTTCTTGGTAAATACTGACATGGTTATGAATCGTGATACGTATCGTATTGTTACTGCAGTGGCAATACCCAGCACTAGTAAACAGTTAATGCGGATTACAAATTTCAGATAAGATTTCAAATAACCCAGGGTTTAATATCCCTACTTCTGTTCCACATGGCTCAACAATCCAGGCATATCTACACCATACAGAATGATATAATGACTTTTATACGCATGACGAGTACCCTGGACATCATTTTATAATCGCATCAGAATCACTATACCACTGTTCCTTGCCAGGACCTTTGTCCTACAACAACGACAAGGGGGACAACCACACCGGAAAATCAGGAGAAACTTTTTAGACTGACACCCGAGGATCGTATCACAACCTCCAGGATTGCCGGACAGCACATCACTCATTCAGCTGGGTAATAAAAGATCCATAAAATTTCACTTAATGTGACAAACTATCTCAATTTATATGGATTTTGAAATGAGGTTTAACGCCCTACTGTTCTGCTCCAAACTGGGCTAATGAAGACAGGCATATGCCATACAGTGTGCTATGAGGGAAATTTTACCCGGACACTGGCACTATGGCCTACTCTTATATCGAATTCCAACTATCAAGGGATCTTTTACATGCACGTCCCATCCGAATGACTGACAGCTGTCCTTGTCAGGCCCTCCGTCCTGCATCACTGACAAGGTGGAACCACGCCGGAAAATCTGGATGAACTTCTCGGTCAATGCAGGGATTGAATACCCGACCTCCAGGCTAGCTAGCCAGTGTCTTACCCACCGTGACCCCCTATATGGATGTCTGTTTCTTTGAGTAGATTCCTTAAACAATTGTACTGTTACTAATACTTTTCACATGGATCATGTAATGCCTTGAATAACCGATCATATAAAATATCAAACTTGACTGAGTTCTGGGATCACCAGAAAGGGCTTGGAATAAATCCTTTATGAATTTAACATATATCTGTACCCCGTCATTTCGATCCCCGTATATAAATAATATAGGAGCACATGGATTTGACAGGGCCCAGTCCACACCCAATACAAGATTAGGGGACTGGGTTTATCTCCAATGTTGTGGAAAGGAACATATCAAATCCTCAATTATAAGGATATTCAAATTCCATAAGCCACATCTGACAGCCTAGGTTAGACTGCCTACATTGGAATTATTAATTCAATTTACAATTATGTGCTAAGTGTATTGGACTACACTTGTGAGAAATTCTTCCTGAATAAAAATCACAAGACACAAACTGGAAATAATCAACTTCTAACCCTCTTAATTCTTATCCTCGAATAGTCATCAAAAACTAGCAGAAAATGTTAAATTAAAAGGTTTTTTTTTTGAATTTGCACAAGAAAGTTGTCCGGTAGATCTAAAACCGTTATTTCCAGGCCTGGTGACCATGTATTTTACCATTCAATCCAACCACATTTTAAACTGCCAGGCATGTGCATGGGTCTTTGTTTTTTTTTTTTTCTAAAGTATTGATTGAATTGACACCTTATACAACTTCATTATTGAGTACCATTCTTATTTTCATCGAAGGGATTCTTCAATTACCCCAATTTCTGTAGGGTCCATTGCATGGGTCAGTTTTTTTGTATGGTTCTTCAATTTATTCCAGATACAATTTAATTGGAAGCCATTCATGGATTCTTCAATTGCCACATGATTTGTTTTAAACTTCAGGGCTTGCCACGAGACGCGAGCAGTTGCTCGGGCTCGCGTAAATCTACATTTACGCGAGCGGTTCGTTGCTCGCGCAAAATTTTAAGAAAACCCTGTAAAAATAATCAAAATACTGACAAGTTTATTGCCGAAACTAACCCAACAATGTCAATAACGTCATAAATTCGTCTGTCAAACTGATATTCACCCAGCTGCAGCATTTCCTTCTTAAATTTGATTGGCTAATGAAGTTACTCGCAACTTGTGTTACTAAAAATACACTTTAGACCTGAACGTCTTGACTGGTTTTCCTACGAACACCAGTAACAAACACGTGATAATCGAGTCTAAAGTAAAGAATGTTTACATCCGGCATTTGGCATTCACGCTAAATGAACACGTTTCAAACTAATATTTATTGGTATTTCCTATTTTATCAGAACTTCGGTTTTTATTCCATTGTGCAGTCGTATAATTTTCAATCTAAGCGTAATAAAGGCCAAAGGCAACCTGATTGCCCTATCCACATTTATTTCGTGGGGTGAAGAAATCCATACGGAAATTGGCTTTAATAAAGAAGAGTACGTATGACTGTCAAAAACAGAAAGCGATGGTCACACATGTTTACTGCAAACTTTGTGCCAGGAATAGCAATTTTCTTATGATTTTAAATTGAAACAATGTTACAAAATTTGCGTGAGCAGTCATCTGCTCGCCATCAATTTATTCGTGGCCAGCCCTGAACTTAGTCATTTGGATGGGACAAAAACAGGTTTTGTGTACACATATGGTGAGCAATTAAAATATACAAAGTTGGAAATGATACAAGAGTAGGTCGTAGCATTGCTTTCCGAGCAAAATTTCCCTCATAAAACACTGTATGGCGTATGCACGTCTTCATTAGCCCAGTCGAGGTAGAACAGTAGGATGTTAAACCCCATTTTATAAACCTACTGTCTGAACCATCATAAATTTTAAACGTACGGTATTTCTTCGATTATGAACAAACAACTTAACTTTGGTTATTATAAACATTTCTGTGTGTTTGAAATTACCTCATGTTGAATAAAATTGAAGAAATCTGTTTAAAATTTACGATGGTTCAGACAGTAGTGATATGAATATTCAACATACCTTAGTCTGTGCTGGAGGTCGGCCCATTTCATGCTTTCGCTTCTTTCTAGGTTGGGGTCGACGCCCACCAGACTTGAGCCGTTTATGCCATTTATCCCGAGAGATACCTAATCAAAAAATAAAATTATGGAATTAAATACCAAATTTAAAGGCAATAGCGGCCATGACAAAAGCCAAAATCGCTCAACTCATGCAATGAAAAAGGGTAGTAATCGGGAAAAGATATAGTACAGATTTAAAGTTGTTAATTTTCAATACATGTAGCCTAGGGTTTCAACTTATCTGACCTCCGTTTCAGTTTTATTTCTTCACATTTTCTATTTATAGAAGATTGTCTGAAACTGAAATTGGCTTCAAACTTTAAACCGAACAGGGATCGGGATTTTGCTATTTTATAAAGGAAATTTATTTTTGTCTGTACCCTGTCATTTCGATCCCCGTATACATAATATAGGAGCACATGGATTTGACAGGGTCCAGTCCACACCCAATACAAGATTAGGGGACTGGGTTTATCTCCAATGTTGTGGAAAGGAACATATCAAATCCTCAAAATACAAGGATATTCAAATTCCATAACGCCACATCTGACAGCCTAGGTTAGACTGCCTACATTGGAATACTACTAAAATGAAATGGGGTTTAACTCCTACAGTTTTGCTACGACTGGGATAATGAAGATGGGCATTCATCTTACAGTGTGTAGGGGTGATGATTTTCCGTGAACGCGGAAAAAACGCGGAAAACGCGGAATTGTCCACTCAAAACGGAATTTGAAATCTCACACGGAAAAAGACGGAAAAGCCGATATTTGCTGATACTAAACACAAACTCAAAATAATTTTGCAGTTATCCAAGTATTTCATCTTTTTATTCATAAAAATCGGAAATATTGAATGATATCGCGTGCTTTTGTTACTGTCTATTTTAGTATTTCGCTACTTTCATTTCATCATTTAGGAATCATAATTTTAATCGAAACGAAAACCCGTCTTTCATGTATCCCATTATAAATTACTCTGTAGTTTAACTTGAATTAAAGATTGTAATGTATATATATATGTCTTAAAAAAAACTTCTGTCACTTCATAAAAGTAAAAATCGTTTCATTTACTTCTTATTTTACTGCCGGGCTCTTGACTCGTGTTTATCCGCATTAACCACGTGACATCAGAAATATACCGTAGCCTTGTGGATCCAGCCCTTATTCTCGAAGAAACGGTAGTAACTACGAGAATGTCTGGATAAATCGCGACTACACCTAGCAGCTGAGAAAAATGGCTTCGTCTGCTAAAAAGATGAAACGAGCTCACAAGATGTAATTTTCTGTTATTTAATTCGGGAAACAGGTTTAAAGAATAACTAGTCATTGAACATTACAAGTCATTCACAATTCAACATTTGTTATCATTGGTTTAAAATGATCCGTTTTGTAATAAAAGGCATTTTAAGATGTTTTATTCATTTATTCATAAATTAATATTTTATCTCGAAAAAACGGAATATGGTCAGCTCTGAAACGGAAAATAACGGAATTAAAAATACTTAAAACGGAATTTGCTATTTTCTGAAACGGAAAATCATCACCCCTAAGTGTGCTATGAGGGAAATTTTGCCCCAACAGTGGCTCTATGGCCTACTGTCAAGTACTGTTATATCGAATTCCAGTTGCTAAGGGATCTTTTACATGCACGCCTATGTGCACTCTGTCCTGCACCACGCCGGAAAATACTGATGAACTTTCTCGGCTGGAATACTACTAAAATAATTCTAGCACTGGTTATATCAATGTTGGTTGTCATGGTGACGGATGGTCCAACTCCACCCAATTAGATGAATGTTATGTTAATGTTGTGCACTACCAATTTCATGAGTTTGATCAAATAATTCTCTTCTTTCTGTAGATTTGTATTAACATCTTATTAATGTTTTGGTAAATGAAAGTATATTCCTTGGGGTTTATTTTAATTGAGAAATGGCCTTAGGCTAGACTGAAAAAAGTGGAATTTCAACAAAATAACCATGCCATTCTATCTTATAACATCAGGCCTTCACGTGAATAAATTCCTGGGGAGTCAAAAAAAGCTCTCCTGAAATTGAAAAAAGAGGAAATCGCTCTCCTGAGAAAGCTCTCCTGAATCTCTTGAGGAGAGCTTTGTTAGCATTTGTGATAAAGTCCAGAGATTTTAATCTATTTCGAAACCAACCGGCCAGAATTGGGTCAAGTGAGGTCCCGGTAAGAAACAGGGTAATTCGAAGCTCCCGTTAACTTTAATATCTGACTTCAACAAGTTCAAGTCAGTAATATTCCTGAATAGACTACTGTCTTCGTTTATCATCAGTCGATCGAAATTAGGATTTATCTACTACGGCGAAAATAAGCTGATGCGACAGTATGACATTTCTTCATATTTAAAACACAAATTAATATTTTTGTCTATCACGTAACTTACAATATTTTTTTCATTCGTGGATGAAAGACAAGCCACACAATGATCACATGACTCCCATGATTGAAATTGCTTTATATAAAATAAAATTCCGTACGACTATGCCATGGCCTTAAATAAAAAGGGCAAAATTTTTAAGAATAAATCCCTGTCAGCATGTGTAAAAAATAAAATTGAATAAAACTAAAACACTATTTAAAAATAAATCTTGCAATGCTGGTTTATTGACCTAATTCCAACCAATGCATGTCACGTGTTATCGGGAATCTGAAAGCATTGAAGATTTGACGGAAAAATATATTACTGTCTGATTCATCGTAAATTTTAAACGGATTTCTTCGATTATGAACAAACTACTTAACGTTGGTTATTATAAACTTACCTGTGTGTTTGTAATGAACTCCCGTTCGATAAAATCCATTGCACAACTAATTATCACAACGATGAAAACAAGTTCTCTCTTGAAAAATTGAAATATCACAAACTTTTCCCAGAGAAAAATACCAATATGGAAGATGGTTACGTCACTCTGCGGAAGATATCATTTCGTATTAGGGGTGACAGCATAGGAAATTCAAGTACAATTACGACAAGAATCCATGACCACTCGGACCAAAGACCACTCGGTTCAAGACCAGTCGGACCAACTGATAGACCACTCAGCCCAAACAAATAGACTACTCGGACCATACAAAAAGACTATTCGGACCCAACAGAAAGACGACTCGGACCAATAATAAAATGTTGTTTTAATAAATTGATAATTGCGTTTGTTTTAATATAATTACTCGAACCAATAATAAAGTGTTATTTTAATAAATTGATAATTGTGTTTATTTTAATATGACTACTCGAACCAATAATAAAGTGTTATTTGAATAAATTGATAATTGTGTGTGTTTTAATATGACTACTCGAACTAATAATAACGTGTTGTTTGAATAAATTGATAATTGTATTCCAAATCGCAAAATATCGAGAACCACACTTGTAGTCACGTTTAAAAAGGGGCATATAAACGTCCGGTCTTCGTATTATTATGTGCTGTTTATATTAACGCATCAAGGGCGGATGACTTGAAAACGTGTCTCCACCCCCCCCCCCCCATATATAGTAACCCAGGGGTTAGTGGGGTAGAACGGAATGAAACCACTGGGGATACTGCGAATGTGGAAAAAGTAAAATTAGGCTATCAGACAAGAACAGTATACCCGTATATGTAGAAACTGTCAAAAGTCTGGACATACCGAGTCTCATTGCAAGAGTAAAGAAAAATTAGATTGATATTTTTTTTTGGCACCATTATTAATTAATTTTAAAACTAATCGTTGATTTATTTTCCGTACACAAAATTGAACCAAACAACTCTAAATATAAGAATTCCGTATAAGAATTATTTGCTTCTTTGTATTGTGATTTAATAATAAATAAATAGCATATTGTCTAGCCTTATAATATAATTTAATTGGTCCGACTGGTCTTGTTTTGGTCCGACTGGTCTTAGTCCGAGTAGTCTTTGGTCCGAGTGGTCTGGATACCTGGTATTGAGTTTGAGCGTTCGCACACATAACTACCCGCATTCCTGTATTTAGTTACCGTCTTTTACATTCTAGTAAAATCTCTGCAAATTTTATAGCTTTACTTTTTGAAATATTTTGTTCTAATTATTTGATTTGCGACTCGGATGGGATTATTTACATTTGAACACGCATGCCGCACAAACACAACTATACATTCGTTTTACGGGCTTTATCACACTTCGGTCAAAACTGTCGAATCGACAATTAATGTTCCGCTTCTTACGGGGTCATACGGGCTTAGTAGCATTATATACCCACCCGGGCACCCAATACGGCAATAGACACGCTGAGGGCTGCCGCAACACGCTTAAAGATGTTACTGAAGCGGTTATTATTCGATCGAAAGAATGCGTATAAAATTAAAAATACACTCAGAGAATTCGGAGGTAAGCTTCATGATCCTTGTTAAATTATTTATAACATAAAGAAGATAGGATATTTATAGTTTATTCATGACTTTATTTTTACGAGTATCCGTGCAATCAGTGATATTTTAATTGTGAAGAAAATTTGATAGACTGGCGATCAATGGTTTCCATATAAATCTCCTATGTTATTGCCTTCAATTGATATTTTTCGTCGCCCAAACCCATATACGATCAAAATGATCGCGCTGTCAAACTATCTTTCAATGTTAACCAACCCCCGCAACAGGTATATTGGATTCGACCATTACGTCACGAAGACATTGTTGACATCGACTCTGTCGAAATTACAAGTAAATTTTCAAATTTTTCAAGAGAGAAATCGTTCTCATCGTTGTGATAATTAGTTGTGCAATGGATTTTATCGAACGGGAGTTCATTACAAACACACAGGTAAGTTTATAATAACCAAAGTTAAGTAGTTTGTTCATAATCGAAGAAATCCGTTTAAAATTTACGATGAATCAGACAGTAGTTATTAATATTTGTTTCTCGGGATATCCGGTGTTTTATCAGGGATTATTCAATGAATATTTAAATTTAACAAACAACGGGTCAGTGAAACCATAAAATGCATTATCCAATTATTATTTTCAAATCTACCTAGAATTCGTACGGATCGAGAGTCGAAGACGGGGCGCGAAGCACGAGATTCACAATCCATGCGGAGCGAGATGTCTTCCTTCGCCACGTGGTTTATTATTACAAAGGAAACTTAGTGGACCTGTTATGAATAACCAGCAGGCTTGTTGGGGTTATTTTTGCCGAATTATCAAAATTACCGTTAAATGTGCTAATTACTCGGATTATGAAACGGATGGCGGATTCTCACTAAGGTATGCGGTTATTGTAGCCGACAAGCAAGTTGATTGTCGATATGATATTACCAGTATATTTTTCCTGATTATTTTCTTTGAGGGGAGTCAAATTAGACATTGAGGAGAGCTATAAAAAGCGCACCTCGACTGACATCCAGGCGCGTCCAGGAGAGCGAGAGCGATCACGCTCCTTTTACGTGAAGGCCTGTAACATTACATATACAATTTATTTGTTCAAAAATTTACTGTTTGGGAATATATATATGACATGACAAAATTGATAATGCTGAAAGGGAGCAAGTTTTACAGAAATATGGATCATTTTCATATCAATTAAAAATCGAAGGTTTTTTTCCTGTACACTGTAATACTAATAGTGTAACACAGCCTCCAGTGAATTCATATCCGCGTACCGTAATAAAGAAAATCGACGTAGATTCAAAAATTGCAAATAACAGGACCTGTTGAAATATGCCGGTTAGCGAAAATGTCGAATGCTTTGGATATACACCAATTTCATATGCATGGTCATGGGTTTTGTCCCATGCAAATAACAATAACGTGCTATTTTTCTTTGAAGAAAAAAAAACACGTTGAAATTTCATCCATTATTTCTAAAATGTCGTTAATTTCTGGATAAAACTGGTCCCGTACCCGCATAAAGAAATGTTTGCAGTTTATTTAGGCATTATAAAACTAGTTGATGGGCATTATCTTTTCAGATTATTGTTGGATTTTAACCGACCACTCAGAAAACAACATACCCATGGTGAGGAAATATGGCCGAAGAGATAGATCACGGGAAGTCTCGCGTGAAGTTAATTGTAAGGGGAAGGAACTGCATGTAGAACGGCGATGAATACAGGTCGAAGACCACAATTAACAGAGTCCAGTGAGTTGCAAATGCTCGCTAAAACTACTAAAAATGTAGGCCTATAACTAAATCATAATTATAACTATATAAAAAATGTTCTTATTCATTCCACTTAGCTGCACACTTCACACTTCAAATAAATTTCGTTATTTTGCTTTGCTTGCCCCTTTAAGCAAGAAATATATTTCCTGCAATGAATCTAAAAACATACCTTTTTGTATCTAAATTATTCTGTAGATTTCCATGAATTAATATATATTTCATTCCATATTCTATTACTTGATTCATATAATTATTATATCATCCCTATATCATATTTCCATGTAAATACCTATACTAATAAGTCTTCTCGTTATTTATGTATTGAGAGAGTGTGAGAGAGAGAGAGAGAGAGAGAGAGAGAGAGTTTAACGTCTACTCGACACAAACTAGGTCATTATGGGACTAACACATGGTTCAATTTTATTTCCATAATTCGCTTGCGCGTAGGGGTCTTTAGCAGTGGGAGGAAACCGGAGGACCCGGAGAAAACACACGAGGTTGGACAGGTGACCCTACTCCTTGTCACGTACAACCAAGGAATCGAAACCTCGCCAGTTGACTCAATAACAGACTTTATGATACAGCGCGCACGTGCTCACCATTCAGCCATCCAACTCCCCTTATGTATTTATAATATTTATACCCATGCATCATAATTGTATTGAATGCTGTGCCATTATCAAACCTGTTTGAGGTAAATGAAATGTGTACACTGTTGTCCTGTTAGTAAATCTATATTATAAGCTAGATTAAAACTACCATTGTCTTATGTGTAAATATTATTAGTCATATTGTTATAAATATATGTACATGTTTATATTGTATGCTGTCCTAAAAGGAAAAAATGAAATGAAATGAGGTTTAACGCCCTACTGTTCTGCTCCTTAACTGGGCTGATGAAGACGGGCATACGCCATATAGTGTGCTACGAGGTAAATTTTGCCCGGGCAGTGGCACTACGGCCTACTCTTATATAGAATTCCATCTGTCAAGGGATCTTTAACGTGCACGCCAATGTGTACACGGGACCCCGGTTTTTCGTCCCATCCGAACGACTAGACAGCTGTCCTTGTCAGACCCTCCGTCCTGCATCACTGACAAGTGAAAACCATGCCGGAAAATCTGGATGAACTTTCTCTACCAATGTAGGGATCGAACACCCGACCTCCAGGCTAGCGAGCCAGCGTCTTACCCACTTAGCCACGTGATCCCCGTCCTAAATGGATGTTTCGATACAATAAAATCTTGCTACACTGGATCCTGGAGTTTCCAATCCATTATATAAATTATATCCTTTACTTATAAAACTTAGTTTGAAAAATATATATTTATTTATGTTTGTATTGACCGGGGGGGGGGGGGGGAGGATGGCCGAATGGTTAGCACGTGCGTGCTGTATCATGAGGCCTGTCATTGAGTCAACTGGCCTGGTTTTGAATCATCGGTTGTACGTGACAAGGAGTAGGGTCGCCTGTCCAACCTCGTGGGTTTTCTCCGGGTCCTCCGGTTTCCTCCCACTGCTAAAGACCCCTACGCGCAAGCAAATTATTGAAATAAAATTAAACCATGTGTTAGTCTCGAAATGACCTAGTTTGTGTCGAGTGGACGTTAAACCCGATTTCTCTCCCTCTCTTGTATTGACCAAACTTCAAAGAGCTAGAATAAAATTATTTGGCTCGCTGCTCGGGACAATTTCCTCAAAAATCATAGAAAATGTTAAAATTCTTGTTGACTTGTTGATCAGCAGGACTTTGGTTTGCCTCATATTTGACGTGAACATATCTATTATGTCGTCAACAGTCAATGTCCGTCGCCCAGACGTCCGTACTTTCCACCATTTGTTTGGTTTTCTTTTGGTTTTTTTTGACACGCTGTAAGTCACGATTTTTATGAAACTGTATGTGCATATCCCAATATCTCGGATTGGTTTGATTTTGGCACATATTTGACCGTCACTGGATTATGGCACCTGATTGTACGAAAATGGCGTTATTAGCTTGTGTACCCTCTAGAGGTCACAATACTGTTGATAACACAACAATCGTGGATGAAATAAAGAGATCTCAGATGAACTTGGTTTTGGTCTGCATCAGACCTTCCGTTCCATTCTGGAGTCATGTGTCCCTTTTTCGAAAATTGCATAATCATGATAGCGACTATAGTTGAAAAAGATTGTTTTCAAATTTTGTGCATCTGGGTTCATGAAAGGTTACCCGCATTTGCCGAAAACTTTCTGCACGCGGTAGAGGCTACAGTTTTTAACAAATTTATTATTTAAAATTGGTGTGTAGCATTGGGGACACGATAGGACGAATAACCCACTCGATATTCAACGTTGTGATCGCGGATTGAGGATACCGTTTTTAACACATTTTTTTTTCAAATTCGATGTAAAGCATTTGGCCAATTAATGAGCCCCTTTGATCTTCCCTATTCTCCGTCCATCCACGATTGAAAAATGTGGGCGTATTATTTACTAAATCTCTTGTACACACGTCAATTGTGTATTTAATTCAGAGATCAAATGATTTAAACAGAGCCAGCACCATCTCTTATTAAAATCATTTGAATCTGATTGCGACCAAGCCCTGTCATTCAATTGGGGCTCGTCGCGTACGGTATTTCGCTGAATTACAGTAAAAACAGAAACAATTGAATGTAAAGCAGTGTATATACATTCATATTACATTATTACATGTATATGTGTTGCGACCCATTTGTGTCCATTTCTAGGTCCCAAATATTAGAGAATTAGCTCCTTTAAAGCAAAGCATGCCCTATGATAAAGTTAAAGTACAGCTAGAGCACTAAAAGGTTAAAGGCTAAAGTTAGTGTTAAAAATACAGAAAAACAAACGAGGGGTTAAAATTTACAACTTTATATTTTATTCAGATGGGGTTTTTTTTATAATAAAAAGAAACAAAGTAAAGTGAAAGCAGAAATCATAAAATATTTGAGCTGAAATCTTTAAATGCTATTTTTAGCATTGTCTACTTTTACTTTATTTATCCCAATTGACACTACATCATTCATTAAAAGATATTGTACCAGGATTGACACTACATCAGTTATTATAAGATATTCTATCAGGTTTAAGACCACATCAGTCATTATAAGATATTGCATCAGAGAGAGAGAGAGAGAGAAATGGGGTTTAACGTCCACTCGACACAAACTAGGTCATTTTGGGACTAACACATGGTTCAATTTTATTTCAATAATTTGCTTGCGTGTAGGGGTCTTTAGCTGTGGGAGGAAACCGGAGGACCCGGAGAAAACCCACGAGGTTGGACAGGCGACCCTACTCCTTGTCACGTACAACCGGGGAATCGAAACCACGCCTGTTGACTCAATGACAGACCTTATGATAGAGCGTGTACATGCTAAAAATTCGGCCATCCAATCCCCCCATATTGCATCAGGATATAAAATACAGTAGGCATTAGTGTATATTTTACAGTAGGGCTCAGTTAACCATTTTTATGTTTAATTATTTTTCAAAAAATGTATTCCAATCCGCTGAATAGTGCAGGCTAGCAATGGCATCGAGAGTTGATTATGTCCTGGATAGGTTAATTAATGTCTAACTAATAATTTAGAAAACATTTCAGGGCTAAAGAAAGACCTGCAATAGGCAGATTTAACTCTTGCATAATGTATGTTTAATTAATGTCTAATTAATAATTTAGATAACATTTCAGGGCTAAAAAAAGACCTGCAATAGGCAGATTTACCTCTTGCATAATGTATGTTTAATTAATGTCTAATTAATAATTAAGATAACATTTCAGGCCTAATGAAAGACATGCAATAGGCAGATTTACCTCTTGCATAATGTTTATTTAACCTACAGTTAAAAGGTGAAACTGAAATTACTTACATTTTTATTATCTCATCTTAATAAAGAAGGCCTACATGTCTATATAATTTACAGAACACTGTATCTGTTTTTCATTAAAATTTCCTCAAGCATGCTCACTGAGTAGTGAGACCAACGCAATATTAAGATCAAATCTATATGACCAGGCATAATGACCAGTCAGTTTTACATAGTATTTAATGTGTCATGGTTTGTTATAAATCAGGGTAGAAGCTAATTAGTTAAGTACTTAATCCATTATTGTTTATTTATGTTCATGTCTCTAGTGATAATCCTGAATAGTATATGTTTTGATGTCAACACTTGAGCTTATCCATTTATAGTTAGAATATAACAAGGCTAATGTACATCAATAGGGAGTCATTAGGTCACCCGACTTAGTTGCAGCTACGTCGGTCATCCACCGTGCTGTAAGTGTACATTGTATGTATTGAATTATTGTTATTTGTAAGAGATAAGTTCCAGTAATTAAAAGATTGAAGAACCATTCCAGACTTATTAGTTATTGAAGAACCTAGCGGTTATATCTAGACAGTCCCACAGGTGGTCATAATAGAGGGATTTCACTGTACATCAGTCATTATATGATATTGTATCAGGATTGAGGCTACTCTATTTACTATAAGATAGAAATAAATGATAAAACATGAAGTAGACCTAATTCCAAACCTTACATGATTTAAATTATAGGATCATTGGTTTCATGTACAGAGCAGTGTATGCTGCTTCCAGTGGTGCTATACAAACAGTGACCAGTGAGAAATTGTTGTTTCATTACACCTGTGTTAGGCAGAGTGTGCTTTCTTAGGCAATTGTTTTAATGGACTGAAATCCGACACAGAATTATATTTAATATGAAGGAAATCTGATTTTCCACCTCAGTTTCCTCTTCTTCTACGGGAGCCATGGTGACTCAGTGGGTGAGATGTTAGCTCGCTATCCTGGAGGTCCCTTGTTCGATCCCTCCGTTGATCAGTAACGTTCATCAGGATTTTCCGGTGTGGTTCCCCCTTGTGAGTGGTGCAGGAACAGGGCTGTAACTAGCTCAGAGCAACGAGGGGGGCGGGAAGTGTTCTCAGGGGTGCTGTAAAGTTGACTGACAATGTATATCTGTTTTTTTTATGGTCGACAATTTTTTCACAGGGGAGGGGCGAAACTTTTTGCAGGTTTAATGTCCTACTGTTCTGCTCGGACTGGGCTAATGAAGACAGACATACGCTTACAGTGTGCTATGAGGGAAATTTTGTCCAGACAGCGGTGCTACGGCCTACTCTTATATCGAATTCCAATGTCAAGGGATCTTTTGCGTGCATGCCAATATGTACACATGACCTTGTTTTTTCCGTCCCATCCAAACGACTAGACAGGTGTCCTTGTCAGGGGTAACCATGTCCGAAAATCTCAATGAACTGGCTAAGCCAACACTGGGAGTGAACCTGCAGCCTCAAGGCTAGCGAGCCAGTGTCTTACCCACTAAGCCACAGTGGCTGCCGAAATTCCAACTGTCACGGGGTCTTTTACTTGCACGCCAATCATGGGCGTCACACAATTGTTTTTCTGGGGGGGTCTGAATATACTTGGACCCCCAAAATTTACAAAGTTGGCCCTAACTCCTATTTATTTACAACAATTATTAGGATTAGTTCAGATTCTATCTGTATAAAACCTGTACATATCCCAATATGGTTTACATTGCTAAAATAAAACACAAAGAGAATCATCCTGGAAACATGTGTGAAGTGAAAAGTAACTGTGTTCCATAAAATTGTGTCTAGTTAGCCTGTCAGTAATATCTTGTTATTTTTTTTTTTCTGCCACTTATCAGAGTGAATCGCATGTAGGTACCCAAAAACATTATCGCCTAAACCAAATATTTATCGCCCGCTCAGCCAGCCACGTTGGCGGTGTCTGAGCCAATCAGCAAACGAGTTGTGTAGACAGCATGTTTGTTTATATTTTTTAGGGGTTTAAAAAAGGGTTAGGGTTAGGGTTAGGGGTTAGGGTTGCGGCCCCCCCCCCCCAATATATATTTCACGGCTACGCCTCTGACGCCAATGTGTACATGGGACCTGACTTCTGTACAACTGACAACGGGAAAACCCAACAGGAAAATCCAAACAATCGAACACCGGATCAGCGCCTTATTCACTGTGGTTCCCTGGTTATATGGACTATTCATGACATTAACGAACCAGTCCCTGACAAGTTTAAACGTTGAGGGTAACCTCGCTTTATGTCCCTATTATGTTTTTGTGTTATTACGTGTCAACGAAATGAAATGGGGTTTTAACGTCCTACTGTTCTGCTACGACTGGGCTAATGAAGATGGGCAAACACTATACAGTTTGCTATGAGGGAAATTTTGCCCTGGCAGCGGCACTATGGCCTACTCTTACATCAAATTCCAACTGTCAAGGGATCTTTTCACGCACTCCAATGTTGTTGTTTTTTGTCCCAGCTGAAGGACTAGACAGCTATCCTTGTCAGGCCCTCCATAACTGACCAGGGGAAACCACATCAGAAAATCCCGATGAACTTTCTCGGCCAAAGCAGGTATCGAACACGCGACCTCCAGGCTAGCGAGCCAGCGTCTTACCCGCTTAGCCACCGTGGCTCCGACCACTCAAAGAAGAATACAATGTGATATATACAATTATAAGGAAACACAACCATGCGCTATTTAAAACAAGGCAACATGACAGTTTATAATTAGTACAAGTTATTTTTTATTTATACAAAAATCTTATTTCACACAATAAACAGAGGATCGTCTGTCTAGATTATCTATCATTATTTGGTATAAATTTTGATTCATCTACAAAAAACACTGGTATACAGGAGAAACCATCGTCACGTAAACTTTAAATAAAATATTCATTTTCATATACAGCTATTTACCACAGATTTTAAAAAAAAAAAAAAAACCTTTTTCCATAGTCATGTCGTTAATGACTTTCTTCTGACATTAATTATAATTTCTGTTCGTAAACGGCCACTTTATTGGAGTTTCAGTGTTATTAGACGATTGTCAGGTCTGAACACTAAGCAGTCACGATTATCAGGTCTGAACCCTGAACAATCACGGTTGTCAGGTCTGTACCCTGAGCAGTCACGATCGTCAGGTCTGCAAATATTTGAGAAAAATAGACGCGGTCGGGTTACGGATAAATGAAATGAGGTTTAATGTCCTACTTTTCTGCACCGACTGGGCTAATGAGGATGGGCAGACCCCATACAGTGTGCTATGAGGGAAATTTTGCCCGTAATCATGGGATAAAATATATAGGGTAGGTTGATCGCCATCGGCATGCAGGTCCGACTTGTAAAATCATTGTGTATAGAATTTTAATACAGTTTTAATTTTAATGGTATAATTTATCACATACAATCCTCCACATTTTTAAATTTAAAGTTTACGTGGCCAATGTTTCCAGGTCTAATTTTATATGAAATAAATCGGATCTATTCAGCTATAAATATGACAATATACATATATATAAAATTGAAGGGACAGGGGTTACTATAGTTACCATATAAATTATTATCATGAAACACATTTTAAAATACAGTTTTCATAAGGCCCAGCAAAATAAATGAGCAGTGTACAAGATTTTATTTTTGGTAAATGAGCAGTTTTTAGACAAGTGTACAAGACTGGAACATCAAATACCACTTCTAGTTCATTTGTGGTAGATTCTAAACCCATTGAACAAATGAAATCAACATGTGGGTAGGGCCAAAATTCTTATGTCACGTCTCATAACAAATTTTGGAGGAGTTGAACACCGGGTGAAGAACAGCTGAGTTATTGGGCATTATCCGCTAATAAAAAAAACTCCAATACCTGTTCACCATCCCCCCTCCCTCCCCCCCTTCACCATAACAGTACTCCCACCAAGGTTCTTAAAGGGACAATAACACTCTTGCTGGCTTGACAGCTCCACAAATAAAAAAAATAGCCTTATTCTAAGTACTAGATGTGTTGGTGTCTTACCTATTGTGTAAATTATCCATTAAAGCCTATTTTACTTGTCCAGAGGGTTCGAAAATATTTTTAAATCCAAGTCACATTTGTTGACCAGAATAAAGATTGGGACATATTATTCAGTTACAACAAGAGTGGTATTGAGCCTTTAATGTTCCTGACAAAAACTGCTGATTAAGGGATTACTGGGTAGATCAGGTATCAGGTAATAAAAAGACCTCGAAATACCTTTCAACCAGCCTGTCTCTCCCACCCCTCCCCCACCATAGTTCTCAATGATCCTGATAAAAACTGCCGATTTATTTTCCGTGGCCTTAAATTAAAATGGCTAGAACCATAAAATATAATTTTACTTAATCTCTAATTAAACTATTATTTATAACAGACAACTGTACACTTATCAATCCATGACATCAGCAGTTCTTCATTCACTGGCCTAAACCATGAAAACTTTAACTAAAATATCTTAAGTAATCAGAATTACCATTTGCTGAGAATTCAAATCTAGTACGGATCTTGGTTCTCAACCAATGAACGATCAACATTCAAAAAAATTTTAGTTTAAGAAACTCAGGATTCTTATTCACGGAAACTTATTTTATGAATAATTATTGCCGATTGGCTTGGAACTAAAATCATAGCCTCGTTCACCCAGAACCTCCTAGTCTTCAACATTTGACTGAATGATAGAGACTACTAAAAGCATAGCAGAAATTTTAGCCTTTGACCAATAAACTACTATCTTAAAATGTTACTATCAAAGATTTCTTGAATACGACCCAAGATATAAATCCTAAAATAAATGGGTCAATTACGTTACTAAGCATGGCTGCTATGGTTGCAATGTAAATAATCTTGTTGCTATGATACTGACCCTGTTCTGACCTTGAGAATGGAATGTGCAGTTTGTTCTTATTTTAATTGCAAGCCTCTCTTCCATTTTTGATCAGCAGAATTGTTTGTTTTTTTTGGGGTTTTTTTTGGTAATTAAACTTTTTTCTTGGAAAGAAACGACATCAGACATAAAAACAATAGATGAAGCAAAAATGGTACAAGCAGCATAATCAGTTAAAAGTTTTACTAAAAAAAAATTTGATTTTAAAATGTCTTTGTAATTCTAACATAAATGATTTGAAATATTTCAAAAGTTTTTTTTTAAAAATTATAATAAAAGAAAGAACAATATAGTTAAATTGTATTTACATAAAAAAAACAACGCATTAGTTAAGTATGACAACGATGACAACATATATTAAAACTTTCAGATCAACACCGAACTCCACGTCCGCAACAAAAACAACAACAACAACAACGTCGTCGTCATCACCTCACAGGTGAAATAGATTAAATTTAAAGTGATTGTCACCTGTGTTTTAAACCCAGGTGTTAGTCTGTTCAATATCCGTGTAGCAGCATGTTGCGTTTGACAGTCAGGCTGTTTTTCATTTCCGTGTATTTTTGTGTGAGTGACACAAGTAGCCGAGAGGTAAAATAGGGTTTAAGTCCACTCAACACAAACCAGAGGATTTCGGGACTAACACATTGTTTATGTTGGGGTATTTACCAATGGAATAAACTGGACCAATCCCCAATGGAGGTTATGCTGGCTGAACATCCAAGCCCAGGAACGAAATCATCACAAACCTTCATCCAATAAATGATCGTGTGATCTAAAGGGGACGTTAACCCGTGCCAATCCGATCTGGATTGCAACATGAAGTAGGACACTATACAATTACTGTTTATGACAGAGAGAAAAATGGGGTTTAACGTTCACAAGACACAAACTAGGTCATTTACTAAAACATGGTTCAATTTTATTTCAATAATTTGCTTGCACGTAGGGGTCTTTAGCAGTGGGAGGAAACCGGAGGACCCAGAGAAAACTCACGAAGTTGGACAGGCAACCCTACTCCTTGTCACATACAACCGGGGAATCGAAACCACGCCAGTTGACTCAATGACAGACTTTATTATAAAGCGCGCCTGTGCTAACCATTCAGCCATCCATCCCTCCTTACTGTTTATGACTGAGAGACACTTCAACTAGGCTTCTCTTAATCTTGTTCAAGTTTATAACTGAGAGACGTTTTGACTAGGATCTCAAATCTTTCTTCAAGTCCTAGTCCTGCGTTCAGACGTTGTGACTATTTTTTTTCTAGTCTTGCTTCAGACTCTAGTCCTGTGTATCCATGTTTTTAAAACATTATAAATTAAAAAAGACCCAAACGTCAAGATTAATACAAGCTAGTTTTGTTTAAAATGGTTGGTGATGTTAATTGTTTTAATGGAGTTCGGTGGATCCGAGACAGTAAAAGTAAAGCTCTAAGAATTTTATAAAATTCACAAAGATCTAATATATACAACTCTAAATTAGTTATATACACAAGTTCAATTTTAAATTCATTTCTCTATATTTTCATTGGTCTACAATTTTAATATTTCAATTTCAACCAATCAGCATCAGTGTAAGATAAAAGTATGAGATGACCCGTGAAATATATATATATATATAATTTTTTTTCATTTTCCACCAATGAAAACAGCTGTATTATAATGTGATAAAATTGAATGATCTTATTTCACAAGATGATGAAATAATTATATCTTATATTTTGTTATTTGCTACCTTACAAATACCCTGTCACCCCTACAGAGCTGCAGTAAACTCTACTTTTATGCAGTTGGTAGAGTCCATAAACTTAATAAAGGTAGATTATTTTTTTGGCAGTAAAAAAAAGAAACTGTATATTTTTTTTTTTTCTCTTGGAGAGAAAGTTTTGTGTATTTGATGAAGAGGTGAGCAGGTTGTTTCCTAGGTAACAAAACGTTGACACAGCCTTATATATGGTAACAGTTCATAATGAGCACCTTTTTATGCATAGAATTCCTTATTATTTTCCGCCCGCTGGTACGCATAATTAGGCATTTTTCTTGGTTCGTCGAGAGCGTAGCTTCCCTCGTCCTTCTTCCTCATCCTATAGACGACAAACATGATGAGTAATATAGCACACAATAACGCCACGACAGCACCACCTATAATAGCTGAAATACATCAATAATCACAATTAATACATGGAATCCGGGCGGGGAGAGGGGCGAGAAAAGGGAGGTTTAGCAGCACCACTTATAATATAACAATTAACATATGGTACTGTTTTATAAAAACAAACGGTATGAGTGTATGGGATACTGGAATCAGGTAGAGAGAGAGAGAGAGAGAGAGAGAGAGCAAGGCAGAGAGAGAGCAGGGCAGAGAGAGAGAGAGAGAGAGAGAGAGTGGTTTAATGAGGAAGAGTGGTTTAATGAGGAAGAGTGGTTTAATGAGAGAGAGAAAGAGATAGAGGAAAAGAGTGTTAATGAGGAAGGTTGAGGAGACAGACAAACATAGTTAATGATGAAGAGTGGGTTAATGTTGCAATTTCATATTTTTACGTTATATTTTTAAAATTTATTAAAATCCATGGTATCTATAAACAGTCCTACTTTGTTAAAGAATAATCCTATTAATCCTATAATTCACTATTGCCAGTTGAGAAATTGGCAAAAATATCATTTTCATCTTCAAATTCCAACGGTTGAAGATAACTACTCCATGGTGGAGAATAGAAAACAAGGGGGTAATTGAGAGGTAATTGTGTTATTATTTCTGGTGTAAATGAGTTTTAAGTGTGAGAATGACACATATGATCGTATAATAGTGAATTGACAACCTATTGAGCAAAAGTCATAGAAATAATTATGTTTTGACTTTCTTAGAAAATATGAAATTGTAACTTTAATGAGGGAGAGCGGGAGGGAGGGAGAGAGGGATACATTTTTATTCATCTGTCCTGCAAATAAGCATTTTTATAACAGCAATATGGGGCAGTCACCAGCCTCTATATAGATTTCTAATTGTCTGAAGACAGTGGTGTCTAACTATGCTATACAGTATATATATTTACCTGCTAGAAGACCAGGTTGTGTCATTATATGAGTTGATTGACTTGCTGGCTTCATATAATTAGCTTCGGATTCATTACCTGTAATATATAAACAACCAATATAATCAATCAATACAATCATTCTAATTAATATAATCATTCTAATTAACTTGTCAATATTAAAGTTCTAAGTTTCATTCTCATGCCTGTCATCAATAGCCCAGGTTCGGAGCAGAACATTACGACTTTAAACCCCATTTCATTTCATTCTAATTAACTACAACTTGTCAATATTAAAGTCCTAAGTTACATTCTAATTACGGTATCAGACAATAAATCTATCGACAAAAAGCCACGCAACACATTTTTGAAATAGATTTAAATGGGATGTCCAGCAAATTACCTCCCTTACATCACTATTGTATAAATTATCTCCCTTACATCAGTGCTGCATGAACAGTGTAATGAAGGCAACAATCAACAGAGCTCTATCTTTAAGAGAGAGGGTCCTTTCGACACAAGCTAGGTCATTTCAGGACTAACATATGGTTCAATTTTATGTCAATAATTTACTTTGCATAGGGTCTTTAGCAGTGGGAGGAAACTGGAAGACCCAAGAAAACCCACAAAGTTGGATTGGCGACCCTATGTGACAAAGTGATTAATAACTAATCAAATTGAACGATTATTTACACTATAATCTGATAAATAAACAATACCATATATGGTAATCACTCTTGTCCATTTTCACTTATTGTCGGACGCTATAAAACCAGCCCCCGAGTTCACAAAACATTCTCAGACTTAAGTTAAGTATTTACTCAACTTTCAATCACTGTTTATATGAAATATCTTTGATCCAGAAACGCAAAAATTTGCACATAGTTTCTTATTGATGTATTTGATACATTAAAACAACAATAGTTTTATAAAGAGCTATATTTTAGTTAAAATAAGGCAAACAATTTTAAGTAAAAATACTTTACTTAAGTCTGAGAATGTTTTGTGAACTCAAGGCCAGGAGTTTACTGAGAGTAAATCAGACTTGGAATAGAGTCCCCCCCCCCCCCCCCCGAATTATGTCTATTTCATGTTTTTAAAGATACATTATGGCAGATAAGATAAAAAGATGGCAGTTCTCGCTATAATAGTTAAAAACTAGATACTGTAAAGGTAATTGGCTGAAAATTTCAGTCAAATTGATCCACTATGAGCCGAGAACGAAGCGGGTGAAATTTTCGCATAGTCTTGGTCATCATTACTAAAATCATTAATATAAACAGCATAGTTTCGATTATCCACTGTTTTGATTTAAATATCAATGGCCGTTAAGCGGCATATAGGAATCTAATCCAGCCAACATCGAAGGCTAGCCTTGACGTCAAGAGTTTATTATGGTCTGGATAAGTTAATTAATGTCTAATTGATAATTTAGATAACATTTCAGGCCTAAAGAAAGACTTGTAATAAGCAGATTTTGCTCTTGCATAATATATGTTTAATAAAGGTTTTATCATTATGCTGAGCTAATGTTATCTGTAGTGTTACAACTACTCCTTGTCATGTACAAGCGGGGAATAGAATCAATGCTACTTGAGTCATGATATATGCAACGCGCACTCATTAACCAATTTGCCATCCAACCACAAGACTTTAAGTTTTACAATATGAGAGAGAGAGAGAGAAATGGGGTTTAATGTCCACTCGACACAAACTAGGTCATTTCGGGACTAACACATGGTTTAATTTTATTTCAATCATTCGCTTGCACGCAGGGGTCTTTAGCAGTGGGAGGAAACCGGAGGACCCAGAGAAAACCCACAGCGACCCTACTCCTTGTTATGTGCAAGCAGGGTATCGAATCCATGCGACTTGACTCAATGATAGACCTTGTGATACAACCAGCACGTGCTAACCAATTTGCCATCCAACTACGATACTTTCAGTCATACAATGGAATGGTCATCAAGTCAAAATACTCCTCTCAATCCAATAATGTTGAAATGGATACGTATTCTCAAATAAATAAAATGAAATGGGTTTTAAAAATCCTACTTTACCAGCACCAACTGGGCTAATAAAAACGGACAGTGTATTATACAGGACATTTTGCCCTGACAGCGGCGCTACGACTTCTGATTTCCAACGGGCAACATTACTGGAAGGACGACGGTTGTCCTCCACCACCGACAAGACGGGCAACTTTACTGGAAGGACGACGGTTGTCCTCCACAACCGACAAGACGGGCAACTTGGCTGGAAGGACGACGGTTGGCCTCCATCACCAACAAGTCGGGCAACTTGGCTGGAAGGACGACGATTGTCCTGCACCACCAACAAGTCGGGTAACTTGGCTGGAAAATTCGAAAGTACATTATCTGCCAACAACATGATTTAAATCAAGACCCTCTGGGGTAGTAATTGAAGTGTCACCAGAACGAAAGAGGCCATATATTGTTGTTGTTGTTTTAAATAATAGAGAGATATTGAACTTACCTTCGAGTTCATTCAGTGGTTTTTTCGGTTCATCATCTGAACCTGGAGCTATTGTATACTGGAAACAAAAACAAAATATAATTTAAAGTACAACCAGGGAATTGAAACCCCGCCAGCTGAATCAATGACAGACCTTATGATACAATATAATTTAAAGGCTCTCGTCGTTTAATCTGATTAAAATACAGGCGACCCTACTCCTTGTCACGTACAATGAGGGAATTGAAACCCTGCCAGCTGAATCAATGACAGACCTTATGATACAGTGTGTACGCGCTAACCATCGGCCATCCACCCCCCCACCCTCTAAAATAAAAGGCGATTGAATGAATCAGATGAAGTTTGGTGTCAGCCAATCTGATTACAACACAGATCTATATTTCGTTTTGTTTTTTTATACTTTCGATGGCCTCCACTATATGAAGATCTGATCAGTTGTTTTGGAAGGGGAGAGAGAGAGAGAAATGGGGTTTAACATCCACTCGACACAAACTAGGTCATTTCGGGACTAACATATGGTTTAATTTTATTTACATAATTCGCTTGCGCGTAGGGGTCTTTAGCAGTGGGAGGAAACCGGAGGACCCGGAGAAAACCCACGAGGTTGAACAGGTGACCCTACTCCTTGCCACATACAACCGGGGATTCGTAAAACCACGCCAGACGACTCAATGACAGACTGTATGATACAGCGCGCACGCTAACCATTCAGCCATCCAACCCCCCCTGTTTTGGAAGGCCGTGCCAGGGGTCATACAAGCGACTTATGACCCTATGACGTCAGACATTTGATTAACCAATCAGTGTTAATGTTTCTAGTGAGTTACCCATAGTTCTGTGCAACTCACGCAAAAAAATTGCCATAACAGACCGTTTGATTGGCAAATCCCTTACATCATCCAGAAAGCAGGTTATATAACAAATCTTCCAGATCCTAGTGTAGTAAATTTTGAACTATAAAAAATGAAACGAAATAGGATCTGTGTTTTAATCAGAAAGTCTCTCGTTGTTGTTTGAGTAATTGTTCATTTCTTGTAATCTATATAAATAAAATCAAAGATGTCTGTGTTCGCCCATCATGCTTCGTCGCCGCAATCCCCTCACGTGATATCAAATTACTCAGCATGACTCGGTGTTCGTCCATCATGCTTCGACGCCGCGATCCACCCCCACATGTGGTATCAAACTAACCAGCATGACTCTGTGAATGTTTTAGGCCAGCCGGAAGATTGTCTATCGTTGATAATTTTGTTTATTTTCTAACATATATAACCAATTTGGGTATAATTTAGCTTGGAAATTTCTGAACAAGACCAAATTCTGTTTTTATTGTCAATGGACAAAATTTGTTACATTAAATGGTTGAATGAGCATACATTGACAAGCACGGCCGTATACAATGACCAGAGGAAACTGTTTTGGAATTGTCCAGGGAATTGTTTTAGAAAACATCACGATTGAACCGGAGACCTCATGGTAAGTGTGTCGGCACTTTCTTCACTGGGGAGTCGTTGGCTTACTAACCTATAGGTACCATGAATCATCCAGGTATAGGCCGAGAAAGTTGGATTAATTTAAAGGTTGAAACTTACGTCTGGTTTAGGTTCTTGTTTATCAGGTTTTCCAGCGTTTAAAACGTTATTTGTTTTTTCTGTAGGTAACAATTCTTCTACAATTAACTGTTCTTGCTGGCTTGTTGTTCTGGTTGCCATGGTGGTTGTTCTAAAATTCACAACTAATTTAGTTGTAGTTTCTGTAAAATACACAAAATACAATTATTACATAACCTTGTAACATACCCCTGTAATTACATACACTTGTAACATACCCCTGTTGTTATTATATAACCATCTATTGTAGTCCTGTTGTTATTATATAACCTTGTATCATACCCCTGTTGTTATTATATAATCATGTATCACACCCCTGTTGTTATTATATAATCATGTAACATACCCCTGTTATTACATACACTTGTAACATACCCCTGTTGTTATTATATAACCTTGTAACATACACCTCTGGTTATTACATAACCATGTATTGTAGTCCTGTTGTTATGATATAATCATGTAACATACCCCTCTTGTTATCATATAACCATGTATCATACCCCTGTTGTTATTATATAATCATGTAACATACCCCTCTTGTTATCATATAACCATGTATCATACCCCTGTTGTTATTATATAACCATGTATTGTAGTCCTGTTGTTATTATATAACCTTGTATCATACCCCTGTTGTTATTATATAATCATGTATCACACCCCTGTTGTTATTATATAATCATGTAACATACCCCTGTTATTACATACACTTGTAACATACCCCTGTTGTTATTATATAACCTTGTAACATACCCCTCTGGTTATTATATAACCATGTATTGTAGTCCTGTTGTTATTATATAATCATGTAACCTACCCCTCTTGTTATCATATAACCATGTATCATACCCCTGTTGTTGTTATTATATAATCATGTAACATACCCCTCTTGTTATCATATAACCATGTATCATACCCCTGTTGTTATTATATAACCATGTATTGTAGTCCTGTTGTTATTATATAACCTTGTATCATACCCCTGTTGTTATTATATAATCATGTATCACACCCCTGTTGTTATTATATAATCATGTAACATACCCCTGTTATTACATACACCTGTAACATACCCCTGTTGTTATTATATAACCTTGTAACATACCCCTCTGGTTATTATATAACCATGTATTGTAGTCCTGTTGTTATTATATAATCATGTAACATACCCCTCTTGTTATCATATAACCATGTATCACACCCCTGTTGTTATTATATAATCATGTAACATACCCCTCTTGTTATCATATAACCATGTATCATACCCCTGTTGTTATTATATAACCATGTATTGTAGTCCTGTTGTTATTATATAATCATGTAACATACCCCTGCTGTTATTACATAACCATGCAACATACCCCTGTTATGGTCTGGACCATAATGTCTAATTAATAATTTAGATAACATTTCAGGTCTAAAGAAAGACATGCAATTGGCAGATTTAGCTATTGCATAATGTATGTTTAACATATCTGCTATTTCCAAATAATTTACTAATTTCACAAGCCATGCTGCAGCTGTATGGTACCAGTGACCTGTATGTTGTCAACTTTGACCCCATGGTGGGGCGCCAGTGATAATATTTATGTTACTATCCTGTCTATTTTAATATTATTTCATCACATCAAACTGTTTTGTTTCCTTTTGAGATGAGATATATTATACATACATATAATTTATTTGTCAATCAGTTTGCGGCTATTTAATGGTTGGCAGTGAGTACTGATGATACAAAACTTCCAGCGGGAATTTAAAGACGTTAACTTCTCATGATTTATGCGTAGGATAAAGAACGAGACTGAGGTTATGCTGGGGAAAGAAAGACTGAAGAAAATAACCTGAGAGAAAAAAAAATCGAGGAAGGCAGGCCGAGGTTTTTCTGTCAAGGGTTTCTTCCGAAGTCTTGCTTCCCCAGCATAACCGAAGTCGAGGACTTTATCTTGCTTATAAACCGTCTATGTGTACATGTACGCAAGATGAGAATATCCCAGAATTCCTACAAAAAAACCCTTATATCATGTTTCTTATGGGAAAAAAAACTACCCTGGAAGAATAACCTGTTACAGGTTTAAAGAAAAACTTTCAGAAGAATAACCCCAAATTTCCCTGTATATATCGAAAACCTCCCCCGACTTTCAGACTGTAAGTTATTCCAGGGATAGAATATACCCCAAAGATCAAAGAGATTTACAGTTACAGGTTTATAATACAAACAAGCCAACAGTGAGGCTGATGTCCCCCGCCGAAATCCCAAAATAAATAGATGATGCATATTATTATTAAGTAATCACACATTTATTTTTCAAAAGTATCAAGCAATCAAACTGATTATCAACTATACACCAAGTTCCACCACTCTCTATCAGATAGAATCAAAGTTATCTGATCCCAAGGCTAAGGGTGTGACGATTAGTCGGTTTAGTCAGAGTCGGTTCGGTTTTACCTACAAACCGGTTCAAGTTTCGGGAAATCGATAGTCGTCTAAAAAATACAGCAGGATATAAACCAGCCGCCCGAATATTATAACATGTTTTTTTTTTATAAAGGTACATGTATTAACGATCGATAATTATGGGGGCGAATAAGCAATAAACTACATCATTGATAAATGGTCGACAATAATAATAAAGTTATCGTGTCCCAAAGCATCAACCAATCAAATGACTTATGTCGGCTTAGCCTGCGCAGAAAAGGTTCATCTTCGAACTCCATCTAGGCATTGACCTAATAAAGGCCTACACCAAGTTTGAACCTTCTACCTCAATTGGGAGGAGAGTTATTGTGTCCCAAAAAGTGTGACGGACAGACAGACAAACAGACAGACGGACGAACCCATTTTAATAGTCCCCTGCTTTCTTCGAAAGGCGGGGGACAATAAGCATACACACCAATTTTGAACATTTTAACTCAATTCGAAGGAGTGTGACGGACAGACAGACAAACAGACGACGGACGAACCCATTTTAATAGTCCCCTGCTTTCTTCGAAAGGCGGGGGACAATAAGCATACACACCAATTTTGAACATTTTAACTCAATTCGAAGGAGAGTTATTGTGTTCCAAAGTCTCAGCAAATCAAATTGCTTATCGCTCTGCTTAATCTGAGCAGAAAATGCTCATTATCGATCTTAGTCAAGGTATTACTGTAATGAAACTAAACACCAAGTTTCATCACTCTCACTTAATTAGAACTAAAGTTATAGTGTCCCAAAGCATCAACCAATCAAATTGTTTATCTACTTAATTAGAACTAAAGTTATAGTGTCCCAAAGCATCAACCAATCAAATTGTTTATCTCTGCTTACCCTAAGCGGAACGGACAGACAAACAGACAGACGGACGAACCCATTTTAATAGTTCCCTGCTTTCTTCGAAAGGCGGGGGACAATAAGCATGAACATTTACTCAATTCGAAGATCAACCAATCAAATTGTTTATCTCTGCTTACCATAAGCGGAACGGACAGACAGACAAACAGACAGACGGACGAACCCATTTTAATAGTTCCCTGCTTTCTTCGAAAGGCGGGGGACAATCAAAGTAGGAGAGTTATTGTTTTCCAAAGTCTCGACCAATCAAATTGCGTATCGCTCTGCTTACCCTGAGCAGAAAATGCTCAATTATCAAACTTAGTCAAGGTATTACTGTAATGAAACTATACACCAAGTTTCATCAATCTCACTTAATTAGAACTAAAGTTATCGTGTCCCAAAGCATCAACCAATCAAATTGCTTATCTCTGCTTACCCTAAGCGGAAAATGCTCATCTTCGAACTCCATCAAGGCATTGACCTAATAAACACATACACCAAGTTTGAACATTCTAGCTCAATTAGGAAGAGAGTTATTGTGTCCCAAAAAGTGTGACGGACAGACAGACGGACAGACAGACGGACAGACGGACAGACAGACGGACAGACAGACGGACGAACCCATTTTAATAGTCCCCTGCTTTCTTCGAAAGGCGGGGGACAATAACAAGTGTTATGTGAAATATTTATGTGTTCTTGAGTCTCAGTGAAAGAAAACAATGCTGTGGCTACCATTCCTGGGTTTCAAGGTCAGATATGATATGAAAACAGATATCAGTAATATTTTGAACTAGTTCACCAGTGCAACCGAACCATGACGGGTTAACCGTTTACATCCTTAGTTTGAAGGTCAGATATCAGTAATATTTTGAACCAGTGCAACTGAACCATGACGGGTTAACCCTTCACATCCTTACAACAAAGATAAATACAAACATAATTTCTGGGTACGTACCTTCACAGTTTGGTCGATCGTTTATAAAAACTTCTGTACCTTCTATTTTTTTACCGTACGGTGTAACACAATAACAACGAGATCCATGACACTGGACGTCTTTAAAATACCCTTCCACTGTACAGTTCGGTCGATACGCTCCAAGTAACTGTTTACGCGAAAATTTGATTATTTCGAAAACACATGGCTTTAAATTTGTTCCTGCAATGAAAGAAAAACCCAACAATTTATTAACTGAAATGAAATGAAATGAGGTTTACCGTCCTACTGTTCTGTTCCGAACTGGGCTAATAAAGACGGCATATGTCAGAAAATCTGGATGAACTTTCTCAGGGATCGAACACCCGACCTCCAGGCTAGTGAGCCAGCATCTTTCCTACTTAGCCACCGTGCCCCCCCCCCCAATTTATTAACAACATATCTTACAAACAGAAAACAGAGACTGGTTTATTTATTTTACTGACAAATAAATGAAATGGGGATTAACGTCCTACTTTTTAGCCTCGACTGGGCTAATGAAGTCTGCTTTGAGGGGAATTTTGCCGGGGCAGCTCCGCTTCAATCTACTCTTCATAGAATTCAAGGGATCTTTAACGTGCACATTAACTGTATATGGGGCCACAGATTTTAGTCCTATCTCAACGACCAAACACTGTTCCTTGCCAGGGGGGAGTTGGAAGGCCGAATGGTCAGCACGTGCGTGCTGTATCATAAGGCCTGTCATTGAGTCAACTGGCATGGTTTCGAATCCCCGGTTATACATGACAAGGATTAGGGTCGCCTGTCCAACTTCGTGGGTTTTTTCCGGGTCCTCCGGTTTCCTCCCACTGCTAAAGACCCCTAAGAGCAAGCGAATTATTGAAATAAAATTAAACCATGTTAGTCCCGAAATGACCTAGTTTGGGTCGAGTGGGGGTTAAACCCCATTTCTATCTTTCTCTCTGTTCCTTGCCAGACCATTTGTCAGCAACCACGTTGGTAATCTTGAGCCACTGTCCTGGTTCCCTACGACTAGGAATAAGTCCACTCAACACAAACTAGGTCATTTCGAGACTAACATATTGTCTTTAGCAGTGGGAGGAAACCGGAGGACCGGGAGAAAGACAACAAGGTTAGACAGGCGACCCTACTCCTTGTCATGTTCAAGTGGGAAAATCAAAACCACGCAACTTGACTAAATGACAGACCTTATCTAATATAAATATACATGTAGAAGGGCCGTGAAAATAATATCTAATATAAATATACATGTAGAAGGGCCGTGAAAATAATATCTAATATAAATATACAATGTACATGTAGAAGGGTCGCAAAAACAATATCTTCACAAATATATATGAAGAGGGGCCACGAAAAATGTTATCATTGATAAATTCAAACTTGAATAGTGTGTATGGTATGATCAGCATTCTTCTATTATTTAAAAAGACATTGCAATGGTCGGGGTTAATTGTCTCCAACAGAAGTCAAAAATCTAGAAATTATAAAACGTTTGGTCGATCAACTTCAATAGAAGGTTATGATTGGACGCTACTGTTCATGTGTCTGTAGATAACGTAGCTTTAAGTTCGAGAATTGTAAAGTAATCTAGCAATGTCCAGATGTAGTAAAACTTGCAGTCGTTACTTCAGGAACATGTTGGTCGATCAACATGATTTACTGACTGCCGGTCATTGAATTATAAATTCACCATGACAACATCATTATAAATCACACTTACCAAGTTCACAGTCTGGTACGTTTGGATTCTCCATATTAGTAGATGGGATCATCCTGCCATCTCTATCTGAACACCAACAATTACCAGTGCCTGGATAACCTCGACACTGCATGGTGTCATAGTAACCTTCCTTGGTACATCGTGGAATGTAATTACCTATAAGATTGGTACTCGCCTTACGTAACTGTTCACATGGCGTCAACGGCTTTTTCGTTGTCGTTGTTGTAGTCATTGTTGTTTTTGCTGAAAATATAAAACAAATATTTATTATACTGTATGAAACGGATAGAGAAATGAATCTTAGTCGTCCATGACGGATGAGTGGCATTTCCGAGATTGTACTCACAATTTGCATAAATGACAGATGAGTGGCAAACCTGGGATTCGCTCACAACTTGCATAGATGACAGATGAGTAGACATTCCGGGATTTTACTCACAACCTGCATAGATGACTGGTTTAATTCCGGGATGGTACTCACAACCTGCATAGATGACATGAGTGGCAATCCCGGGATTCGTTCACAACCTGCATAGATGACATGACTGACAATCCCGAGATTCGCTCACAACCTGCACAGATGACTGGTTTAATTGTACTCACAACCTGCATAGATGACAGATGAGTGGCAATCCTGGGATTTGCTCACAACCTGCGCAGATGACAGATGAGTGGCAATCCCGGGATTCGCTCACAACCTGCACAAATGACAGAAAACCGAACCAGAAACTCGTTTTGTCCATCTGACCATCAACATGAATTGGGCATTTTGTTCTTTGGACATTTGAGCATTGATTATCAGCCTTTGATTTGTGATATGACGTCACAATTCCAAGGTGGCTATGATACGCCTGCCAGGGACAATAATCGTTCGTTGCTGGCTTACCTTTATCTCAAACAGGTAATGAATAACTTACATTTATCAACATGTGGGTAAATATTGTAACCGCTACCTGAACCTGATGTCATCAGGTCCTCGTCATCTGTTGCATCATCGTCTATTTTAGATCCAGATCCACTTCCTGCTACAACTGGATCATCCTGAAATAAAATACAATAATAATAAAATACACAACATCTACAGAACACGTCAGAACACAGCTACAGAACACATCAGAACACTTCTATAGAACACATCTACAGAACACTTCTATAGAACACATCTACAGAACACATCTACAGAACACAGCTACAGAACACATCAGAACAATTCTACAGAACACATCTACAGAATAATCCCTATTTCTCCCATGATAGATATAGTACTTATTGAAATACATGTATATTATTCTTAGAGGTCGCGCGTTCAATCCCTGCATTGGTCGAGAAAGTTCATCGGGATTTTCTGACGTGGTTTCCCCTTGTCAGTGGTGCAGGACGGAGGGCCTGACAAATTTCCCTCATACCATATGTATGGCGTATGCCCGTCGTCATTAGTCCAGTCGGAGCAAAACAGTATGACATTAAACCCCATTTCATTTTCATGTCAGTTTCCCAGATTAACCCTTATTTCTTTCCCGATAAGTAGTGTTGATATATTTAGAAAAAGAAAAAAAAAAAATCACCAAAATTTGTTGGATTCCTTTAAGAGCAGTTTGAACAAGTTTTATTACAAACATCTTAAATCATAAAAAGGTTTTATATAAAAACCAACTCAATTTCTTCACCAAATCAAAATCAAGAGTAAAAATCTCTAATTTCCTACAAATCGACATCAATTTTATTTTAAAAAAAAAGCCAGACAAGAAGATTTGACATTAGCATCAATCTAGAGTTATTTATCTTGTTGCAGAATTGTCTGGAGATTTGTCTGTGGATTTTAATGATATATAGAGGTGGATGATTCCAGTAAAAGTCGATCTGTGAATTATACAGGTGGACACATTAACACTAGTTTGAGACAGAAGGGGTTACCATCCAGGAATACCCTTATGAACTTTCTCGACCAACCCTGGCAGCGAACCGGAGACCTCCAGGAGGTTAGTAAGTCACCTTGACTCCCCTACATTTAAGTGAGAGAGAGGGGGAGGGAGGGAGAGAGAGAGAGAGAGAGAGATAGAGAGAGAGGGGGGGAGGCTTTAAGTCCACTTGACACAACTTGGTCATTTTGGGACTAACACATGGTTCAATTTTATTTCAATAATTCGCTTTGTGCGTAGGGGTCTTTAGCTGTGGAAGGAAACAGGAGGACCCGTAGTAAACCCATGAGGTTGGACAGGCGACCCTACTCCTTTTCACGTACAACTGGGAAATCGAAACCAGGCCAGTTGACTCAATGACAGATCTTATGATACAGCGCACACATGATAACCATTCGGCCATCCAACCCCCCTTGAGAAATAGACACAGAGAGAGACAGAGAGAGAGAGAGAAACTAGAGGGAGGTATAACAGACACAGAGGGTTTGATCTAGTGGCAGTACAACTGAGGAAGAGAGAGAGAGAGAGAGAGTAGATCTAATAGCAGACTGATATACTAGAGTTATAAGAGATCTAGTAACAGTAAGTATAGAAGTCATTTATTGATCTTCTATAATCAACAAATCCAACAATACAACATAACAATCAGTCTGTCAGAATCTCATATATCATAGTTCTATTATCTTTTATATAACATATATCATTCTATTCTAGTTTTATATAACTCATATTAATATGTTAATAGTGGAGAGGTGGGGGGGGGGCATTCTACTCCTATTCTAGTTTTATATAACTCATATTAATATGTTAATAGTGGAGAGGTGGGGGGGGGCATTCTACTCCTATTCTAGTTTTATATAACTCATATTAATATGTTAATAGTGGAGAGGTGGGGGGGGGGGGGGCATTCTACTCCTATTCTAGTTTTATATAACTCATATTAATATGTTAATAGTGGAGAGGTGGGGCATTCTACTCCTATTCTAGTTTTATATAACTCATATTAATATGTTAATAGTGGAGAGGTGGGGGGGGGGGGCATTCTACTCCTATTCTAGTTTTATATAACAGATATTACCCTGTTAATAGTGGAGAGGTGGGGGGGGGGGGGGCCATTCTACTCCTATTCTAGTTTTATATAACAGATATTACCCTGTTAATAGTGGAGAGGTGGGGGGGGGCATTCTACTCCTATTCTAGTTTTATATAACAGATATTACCCTGTTAATAGTGGAAAGGGGGGGGGGGCATTCTACTCCTATTCTAGTTTTATATAACTCATATCAATATGTTAATAGTGGAGAGGTGGGGGGGGGGGGGCATTCTACTCCTATTCTAGTTTTATATAACAGATATTACCCTGTTAATAGTGGAAAGGGGGGGGGGGGCATTCTACTCCTATTCTAGTTTTATATAACAGATATTACCCTGTTAATAGTGGAGAGGTGGGGGGGGGGGGGGGCATTCTACTCCTATTCTAGTTTTATATAACTCATATTAATATGTTAATAGTGGAGAGAGAGAGAGTGAGAGAGAAACTAGAGGGAGGTATAACAGACACAGAGGGTTTGTTCCAGGGGCAGTACAACTGAGAGAGAGAGAGGGAGAGAGAGAGAAACTAGAGGGAGGTATGACAGACACAGAGGGTTTGTTCCAGGGGCAGTACAACTGAGAGAGAGAGAGGGAGAGAGAGAGAAACTAGAGGGAGGTATAACAGACACAGAGGGTTTGTTCCAGGGGCAGTACAACTGAGAGAGAGAGAGGGAGAGAGAGAGAAACTAGAGGGAGGTATAACAGACACAGAGGGTTTGTTCCAGGGGCAGTACAACTGAGAGAGAGAGAGGGAGAGAGAGAGAAACTAGAGGGAGGTATGACAGACACAGAGGGTTTGATCCAGTGGCAGTACAACAGAGAGAGAGAGAGAAAGAGAGAGAGAGAGGGAGAGAGAGAGAGAGAGAGAGAGAGAGGTGGGGGGGTTAATGTCCACTGACACAAACTCGGTTATTTCAGGACTAACATAAGGTTTAATTTTATTTCAATAATTCGCTTGTGCGTAGGGGTCTTTAGGAGTGGGAGGAAACCAGATGGACTTGGAGAAAACCCATGAGGTTGGACAGGCAACCTTACTCCTTGTCACATACAACCGGGGAATCAAAACCACGGCAGTTGACTTAATGACAGACCTTATGATACCCTCACGCACATGCTAACCATTCGGCCATCCCCCCTCCCCGACACACAGATAACAATGTCATTTTGGGACTAACATATATATATATATGGCAATGTTTTATTAGAATGGTTCAAATGCACTCCCAGATGTGTTCCAAGAAGGAGGTGATTCCCTTTTTGCATGCTACATCATCAGTTCTTGAGGACTTCCCCCACGGCAGCACCCAAACTTGTTTGCGAAAACGTCTTGGACCCTCTGAAGTCGTAAGTGAATTCCGTGGTAGTTTAATTCTATTTTAGTCAATTTTTATCATAATTACACCGAAACACATCCTTTTCAAATATACCAGCCTTTGTTAGGCACTGTTTGACTGTTCAAATAAAAGCAAAATGATAGAATGAATCCACACTTTCAAACAGTGCACTTTCTGCTCTATTCAATTTTCAGGAAATGTGTTTTATGGTGTACTATTTCGTTTATGGCTACATGACGCTGTTTAGGATGACCGCTCAAACATCGTTACTGTACAAACTACAACTTACCCAGTCGCGAACTGATCATTGGGTTTTGTCAAGAATGCTGATTTTCTGAACAGTGAAAGAGCGTCATGTCTTCCGAGAACGACAACGACTTCACCTCGTTCTTGGAACACATCTGCATACAGGGATCTTGAGTTGCGGGAGAACTCACAAAGGTTGGGAAGATAATGGGAGAGCTTGCCAAGGCAGCACTAAAAGTTCTAGATATGTTTTATTTGTAAACAAAATAGAAAATAGGGGGATGCCCAAGTTCAGATTTTGTCATTGATACCGTGTGGTTGGAAGGTTTTCAATCTAATGATCCAATGAAGTTCAATGGTACGTCTATTGGTTGTAGATTTTTGGAGGTCAGGATTGGTACCCAATTGTTCAATTATTTGGTAGTCAAGGTTTCGACTAGAAGTGGCTCGGTAGGTGGAAGTGAGAGGCAACTGGGGTGTCTCTCTTGTGGGTGATATCAGTATAATGTTCTTTAAGTCTAATTCGAAACAATCTTTTCGTTTCTCCTACGTACTGTTTTATACAGAGATTGCAAGTAAGTAGGTAGATCACGTTTTTGCTATGGCAAATGTAATTGCTGTTGCAATTATATGATATGCCAGTTTTACTGGAGTGAAAAGTTTTATTTGTAGCAAACATCTACATGTACATGTACATGTAGAAACAAGTATTATTTTTATTTCCTGTAGATACAGCCTAATAGACGTGTTAGGACATCACAGTCTACCAGCATCATTCTTATGACTGGTCGTTCTAGTATCTCTTAATTATAGTGATGTTTGATTGACAAGTCCATTGATTAGATTGTTCACTTCACTGGGCTAGTTAATAAAGACTAGTTCTTATTTGATACACTAATGTATGGTGTGATAAACAAGTCTATAGGTCAATGTACTGATGGATGTAATCAACCAATATTGAGTTGGTTTTTTTAATGGAGGATTCAATCTTCCGCTACCATCATTAACTTTAATAACCCGCAATTTACATAGAATTTATTCAACATGGATAGATAGAGAGAGAGGGAAGAAGAGAGACAGAATAATGATGATACAGTGGATGTAAAGAAAGAGAGAGAGAGAGAGAGAGAGAGAGAGAAATGGGGTTTAAAGTCCACTCGACACAAACTAGGTCATTTCGGGACCAACATGTTTTTTTGTTTTGTTTTTGTTTTTTTTTTAAATTTTATTTCAATAATTCGCTTGCGCGTAGGAGTCTTTAGCAGTGGGAGGAAACCGGAGGACCCGGAGAAAACCCACGAGGTTGGACAGGCGACCCTACTCCTTGCCACGTACAACCGGGGATTCGAAACCACGCCAGTCGACTCAATGACAGACTTTATGATACAGCGCGCGCACGCTAACCATTCAGCCATCCACCCCCCCCCCAGAGAGAGAGAGAGAATGTGGAAGAATGAGAGATGCATAGATGGAGAAAGGGAGAATAACAAAAGAATGAAAAGAGTATAAGGGAGATATACATGTATAGAGAGAGAGAGGAATAATGAAAGGGAGATATATAAATGGAGGGGGGAGAGAGAGAGAGAGAAAGATAAGGGAGATATATAGATGGAGAGAGAGGGAAGAATGAAAGGGATATATGGGAGATATCAGTATAGAGATTAGCCGGTTGATTTATTGGATATAAACCTTTGAATAATAGCGCCTAACAGGCAGCTGTGTTTAATTGTGTTTAATTATGTTCTCCTGATTTTGATTGTTTCTGTGTGTTTGAAGTAAATGTTTGTGATATGTGCTTAGAAACACTTCATGTGTAATGAAGCGCTATATAAATAGAACAATAATAATAATATACATGTAGATGGAGGAGAGAGAGAGAGAGAGAGAGAGAGAGAGAGAGAGGAATAAAAGGAAGATATGGGACACAAAAACACTTAACACAAACCAGGTTATTTTGGGACTAACATCAAGGAAATATTTTATTTCTATAATTTGCTTAGAGGTCCTTAGAAGTGGGGGTAAACCAGAGGTCCCAGGGAAAACCCACGGGATTACACAGGCGACCTTATTTCCTATCATTAAGGCCGAAGGTCAGTTGTTAAATTCATATACATACATATATACTTGTCGAGAACTCTGATCACTTGTCTATCAAGACACCTAGTCTAGAATTCCAACCACTCGTTTATCGTGACACCATGTCACCATGTATATAATATCGTAGAGTCAAGACACCTGTATATGAAATCAGGAGTCGAGACACCTGTATATAATATTGTGGAGATTCGCGACCAATTGTCAAGACACTTGCATATGATATCGTCATGTCGCGACACCTGTATATGATATGAAAGTTAAACTTACTTGCTGCATGCTGTAATAATCAATGTCAATAAAACTATCTGATGCATGATGGGAAGATGATGGCGACTGAAACATATAAAATGTTAACATGCTATGATTTTAAACTAATTAATAAACAATTAATAAAAACAGTAGAAACATTAATTAGTGAACTTTAATTAGTCTCGTTATTTTGTTGACGAGAAAGATTCATTATAATGTCTGTTAAATAAAGTGATGTCATCAACATTTTAATCTGACAGAGAGCGTTTAACGTCTACTTGACACAAATTAGGTCATTTCGTAGGAAAGGAAACTGAAGAACAAATGCTGATGACATCCATTAGAATAATATCAAGTAATTAACGGGTCTATAGTAAATATATTAATATCAAATTCATAAACAATTAAAATAAAATTAAAAATGATTATATTTAACATAACAGGTCTAGTACAAAATGACAGGATAACATAAAAATGATTATAATCAACATAACAGAGTACAAAATGATAGGATAACATAAAAATGATAACATGCGGAAAGAAAAACAGAATTTAGAAAACATGGGAAGGGAAAATCTCTCGGTGTTCTTATTCATACATGCATGTGCATAACAAAAGAGGTGGTCAGTATAGCAGGGGTCTGACTGTTAGACAGGTGGCCACTATAGCAGAGGTGGTCAGTAAAGTGTAGGTTTGACAGTTATATACAGGTGGCCACTGTAGTAGAGGTTTGACTGTTACTTAATGGTGGCCAGTATAGCAGAGGTTTGACTTATAGCAGAGGTTTGATTGTTATATACAGGTGGTCACTGTAGCAGAGGTATGGAGGTTATATACAGGTGGCCACTATAGCAGAGGTTTGGATGTTATATAGAGGTGGCCACTGTAGAAGAGGTTTAACTGTACAGTTTGCTGTCCACATAATTAACTCTCATCCAAGTTCATATATTTCATCCCTTGGTCGTTTAATTAGGGGGCTTATAAATGGGAATACAGGTACATGTACATAAATTAAATCAGGGTATGACAGACCTTATGATATAACACGATAAACCATTCGTCATCCAACCTCCCTTTTTATGGCTTTTAAAGGCTTTGAATCACACGTTAATTCATCCGGTCACCCAAACCCGCTGCCTTTTTATGGCTTTTAAAGGCTTAGAATCATGCCTTAAATCAGTCGACAACCCAAACCTGCAGCCTTTTAAAGGCTTCAAACCATATTCAATAGTCTTACACTCTATACAAGTATGTCTGGCGCTTGTCGGAGTTCATCACCTTCTAATAATCAAGTCATTATTAAAGATTGTCTGGATAATCTAAGTAGTCTCTGTCGTCATATAAGAGTAATTATGTTTAATTAGATGGTGTAGTCAGTAATAATACTGTCTGGTACATGTATATGAAGGGTTTATTGATGTCTAGATGATCAAATCTATAGACTTGTTTATCTAGTTTATCCTTTCATATTCTTTATGAATACATGAAATGAGGTTTAATTTGTTAAATTAAGAATTAAATGATCAATTTGAGTACAGATCATTGTTTTTTAAGGCGAGCGATCGCTCTCAAGCGCCTGCCGTTCACCTTAATGTCGACTGAGGGGATCTTTTTCTCCCTCTCCTTAAAATTAAAAATCCCTCTCCTTTACAAAGTCATGGGTGGTTTATTATCATTTATGAAACCAGGAATGACCTCTTAACATGCAGTTATTGATCTTCAGAACCATGTCCCATACACAATAACAGACCTTATTATGATACAATGCACACATGCTAACCATTCGGCCATCCAACACCCCCATATTCTAGTTTTAAAATATAATTTGGTTAATATTGTAGGAAGAATGAGGTGTATACACCACACTAAATATATTCTAATCTGTCATTGACTCAAGTGGTGTGATTTCGATTCCCAACTTGTATGTGACAAGGAGTAGGGGCATCTGTCCAATCTCATGGATTTTCTACTTATTACTAAAATTATCGTCTGAAAGCCTTTTGTGATTACTAATAGCGCATAACAGGCAGCTGTGTTTAATTACATGTATGTTCTCCTGATTTTGATTGTTTCTGTGTGTTTGAAGTATATGTTTGTGATATGCGTTTAGAAACACTTCACGTGTAATGAAGTGCTACATAAATCGAACAATAATAATAATAATAATAATAATACACACAACTAATCACTCTATTTAATATCAGATCACTCTCCTTAATTTCTAAATCACTCTTCATATCGAAACTGGGAGAGCTTTTTTAGGGGAGCGATTTTTTTAATTTGTTGATTAAGGGAAGCTTTTTTCGGCTCTCCTCTAAAATACAAACAACAACGACTGACTGTTCCCTCCTCTAAAATACAAACAACTACAACTGGATCATTCCAATCGGGTTCACACTACTTGATGATTTATACAAGTATTGAAATGACATGGGATTTAACGTCCTACTGTTTTGCTCAGACTGGAGAGAGAGAGAGAGAGAGAGAGAAATGGGGTTTAACGTCCACTCGACACAAACTAGGTCATTTCGGGACTAACATATGGTTTAATTTTATTTACATAATTTGCTTGCGCGTAGGGGTCTTTAGCAGTGGGAGGAAACTGGAGGACCCGGAGAAAACCCACGAGGTTGGACAGGCGACCCTACTCCTTGCCACGTACAACCGGGGATTGGAAACGACGCCAGTCGACTAAATGACAGACTTTATGATACAGCGCGCGCACGCTAACCATTCAGCCATCCAACCCCCCTCTGCTCAGACTGGGCTAATGAAGATGGCAAACTCCATACAGTGTGCTACATGTACATGTATGAGGGATATTTTTCTCGGACAGCGGTACTATGGCCTACTCTTATATCAAATTCCAGCTGTGAAAGGTTCTCTTACGCCTAATGACTACTCGGTATACATTGTCTCTTGCCAGTCCTGCACCAATAATAAAGGGGGAAATACGCAGGAAAATCCTAACGAACTTTCTCAGACAATACTGAGAGTGAAGCTGACAACCTACTGGTTAGTGAGTCAGACATTGGCCTAGTTTGTGTCGAGTGGACGTTAAACGCCATCTCTCTCTCTTGGCATATCACATTCTTCTCTTTCTTTATAGACATTTCAGTAAAATAATGATTCACAGTTTTCTCGGACAGAAAAAGGCCGGTCATGTCAAATCAATAAAAAATAAATGGGCATTACATGTATCTGCAAAATTTGGCATCCATATTAGACTATTTTTGATGGGCCTCTATTTATTCCGACTGAATTCAAGCCGAGAGATTATCTTTAGTTGGTTTTATTCTGTTAAATTAAGAATTAATCATACATTATGCAATCAAGCTAAATCTGCCTATCAGGTCTGAAATGTTATCTAAATTATTAATTAGACATTAATTAACTTATCCAGGCCATAATCAACTCTCGATGGCATCGGATTTCTCCGATATTAAATAGATAAGAACAGTTCAGACATATTTTGATTTAAGCTAAAAATGGAGGAGCGAGACTTAGCTTCGTACAACCAGTACGGTGGTTGAAATTATTGCACACGTCTTGTCAAACCTTCAAAGGCTAATATCTTCGCTCACACTAAAGTAATTTAAATGAAATTTTCAAATTATTAATTTTACATCATTTATTTTCGAATTATTATAATAAGAATGGCTAGCTCTTTATCTAAATCTTACATAATGTATTTTCAATTAATCAATTTGAGTACATTTTAGTTTGGATTAAGCTGTGAATAATAATTACAGATTATTCCAGCGTTAATAGATTTACTGACATTTTAAAGATGCCTTCCCGTGTACAAACTGGGTAATTTAATGATATATTTGGTCTAAACTTATTGAAACTAATTAATCTATCAAAAATTGGCTTCAAATCTCTCTTAAAACATTGCATTCGTGAGGAAATACCCCAAAATATATAAAATTTATTTTTAGAAGCCATGTTTGTCACCTAAATTGATTGAGGGAGGGCCCATTTTTAGAATGTATTTGTCTTTAATTATTGTCCATTTACCGTGAATATTGAAGCCTATAAATTCTTGGATTATCTTCTGCCAACTCCGGGGAATCCAATATTTTTCTAATAAGATTCTGCGTCTATACATTCCATATTTACCGGTGGTACGTGACAAGGAGTAGGGTCGCCTGTCCAACCTCGTGGGTTTTCTCCGGGTCCTCTGGTTTCCTCCTACTGCTAAAGACCCCTACGCGCAAGCAAATTGTTGAAATAAAATTAAACCATATGTTAGTCCCGAAATGACCTAGTTTGTGTCGAGTGGACGTTAAACCCCATTTGTCTCTCTCTTTTTCCATATATACCAAATTTGCCTCGCTTTTATTGGAAATAACTACTCTATAATTACTTTTGTGAGAATCTATCTTTAAATACTGTAGATTAACCATGTGTTTAAATCATTACCATATAACACACCATTATTACAATAAACACTACAACTAGATTCAAATTCTTACAGTTGTCCAACACATGCATTTTAGATCGCAGGACGGAGAGCCCGACAAGGACAGCTGTCTAGTCCTTCGGATGATACAAAAAAACAAGGTCCCGTGTATACATTGGAATGCACGTAAAAGATCCCTTGGCAGTTGGAATTCGATATAAGAGTAGGCTGTAGCACCGCTGTCTGGACAAAATTCCCCTCATAGCACACTGTATGGCGTATGCCCAGCTTCATTAGCCCAGGTTAGGAGCAGAACAGTAGGACGTTAAACACCATTTCATTTCATTTCACTTTAGATCATAAGGTCTGTCATTGAGTCAAGTTGTGTGGTTTATTCAAACTTATCTAAAACTAGAGTTGTCTAACAAATGTAGTTTTAGATCATTGTGTCAACTTTAGTGGCATGTTTTCGATCCTTAGCGTGTATGTGACAAGGAGTAGGGTCGACTGTCTAACCTTGTGGGTTTTCTTTGGGTCTTCCCACTGCTAATTATTGAATTAAAAGGGCACCATGTTAGCCACGAAAGGACCTAGTTCGTGTCCAGTGGATCTTAAACTGCATTTCTTTCTCTTTTCTCCCTGCCCCGCCTCCCTCCCTTCTTGCCATGTTAGTCACGAA